GAGAAGGAAATTGAAGGGGGGGAGAGATTCACATTCATCACACACAATGCACCCCTTGCACACAGAAAAACACAATGCATTACACACACAGACACACATACACAAGCAATGCAACTGTTACACACAATGCATCCCTTACACACACAGAAACACACAATGCATTCATTACACACACTCAATGCATCCCATACATACACAGAAACACACCTTGCAGCCCTTACACATACAAACACAATTTCACACAATGCATTCCTTACACACATATCAGGACATCCCCCACACACTCCACCCCCTGTGAACAAACTCATTGGTGGAACATGAAGGTGGACCCTGGGACCCAGACCTTGAGCTGTGTAAAGGACCCCAAAAAAATGGAGCTGCTTCCCGTTCTCCCAGAACATTGATTTTTGTGACCACAGTTACAAACCGCCTCCAGAGAGCCTGTTCTACACCAGACCAGTGGAGCCAGACCGCAGCTAGAGCCCATCATCATCCTCATCTGGTTGTAAGTAGGCAATCTAGTATATTATTCGTGGCACTAATCTCTAATTTACCTCACATTAAAGGGACACTATAGTCCCCAGAACCACTGCAGTTAATGTAGTGGTTCTGGTGTCTATAGCCTGTCCCTCGCAGGCCTTTTAATGTAAAACACGGCGGCAATCTGCAGCACTGGCGCTAGTTAACATGGCAAATCATATGGCTGGGGCATTGTGATGTCACACATGGGGGGCGGCAAACTTTACTTCTTTTGCCTAGGGCTGCAAAAATCCTTGTAACACCGCCCCTGGCTGGAGGGGCTGTGTGGAGCTGCGGCTTCCATTGTGCGTCCCATGGTAGTTAGGGTGCCGTAAGCTAAGTACAAATTACCTCTGGCAAACAGCTGGATAAACCGGGTCAGCACGGAGGAAATGTGCATGTGCGACCGTCTGCCCGCACCGTGTGTGACTGTCTGTCTGTAACTGAGTGTGTGATTGTCTGCCTGTAAATGTGTGTGTGGGGCTGCAGGAATTTTGTAGAAGGGGGTGGGGGTTTTGTATTGGGACAGGAGTCTTTATAAGGGGGGATAAGCAGGGAATTTGTGGAAGGGGGTTGCGGGGGTTTTGTAGATGGGGCAGTACAGGATTTGTAGAAGGGCAGGACAAAGGTTTTGTAGGAGGGGCTGACAGCGGTTTTGCAAAGTTTACAAATTGTAAAAATAAAAGAAATAAAACCTTTAACATTTTTTACAGGTGTGGTTTTTGGGGTTGCACAGGATCCGCCCCGGGTGCCAAATGCTCTAGGTACGCCCCTGTCAGGGTACCAAAGGTATTAGAGCTCTGTTTCCCTAAGCTAACAGGGGGGTGGAGGTGGGTGCAGGTGGTTTCTACCTTAGCTGGATGTGTTTAGATTAGTTGGGTGCTGGCATTACTTTAGGAGGGTTGCAACTTAAGAAATCATAGTGGGCTCTTAAAAGTAAAGGTAACAAAACTCTACTTAATGAACCTTATTGCTGGCAAGATATGCCCAATATGCAAGACAGTTCATCCTGTGTCGGTGTCAGAGCGTGGAACAAAAGGGGTAGTTGCTGAAATGTTCCAGGTTGTGGTCGTCTCAATGTTGGGGCTGGAGATGAACATGAATTGCCTGTAAGTGTTGCCTTCTTTAGTGGCCGATAGCGAGTAAGCTGTCAGCCAGCGATACAGGATGTTAGCTGCCCTGAGTAGCTTTGTGATAGGCATGTAGACTCGGTGCCATTCCAGTGTCGACCGGCATTGCTCCTGTAGCTGTGACGCATGAGGTCTCGAATTGTAGGGGTGACTGCGTTTGCAGTGTCTCCATCGCACACCTGCTGGCACTTTAGTTGAGGTAGACAGTCAGTGACAGCGTTCAATTAGCAGTGATTTGACTTGTCGTTGGGGCAGGATAGTTGCCAGCAATCTTCTAACGAACTGTGGTAGTTCTTCATCCTCCACAATTTTTGCATCTGCTGTAATCATTTAGGGCATCTAGGCGGTTAGCCATTTTTTGCTGTGAGGCCTGTAGATGGGCTAGGTTGTCTGTGGTACTTAGCTGCTTCTGGGCCATTGAGCTGTTATCTTCCTCAGCACTTGAATCTTGTCAGTTAGCTCTTCCCTTACCACATTTAGGTCAGAGTTGAAGAATGCTCTCATGTTCTTCATCAGCTCCAGTATATCCCCCTTGGTTACCAGGGTGTTGAGGTCTTCTGTAGTCCAAAGGGTATTAAGGCCCCCTGTTTCTGAGATGGTGTCTGGGGCATCTAGGAGTTCCTATTCTGATTATTCGGAGGTGCAAGGCTCCCGCTGTGCTGCCATCTTGGGCCTAGCTCCCCACAATTATAATTTTACAAACATATTGCCCTATGTGGTGTTCTTTTTTTGTCTCCTTTATTTTGAGATATCTCTTGGGACATTGGTATGGCCTTTTGCAAGTAGAGTATTAAGATTGTTTTAAGCTCCTTTTGTGTCAGCACTTTTGAATTTGCACAGAATACACTTAATAGTGTGTTTTGGCACAGTGCACTTTAGTGATTTGTTGAAAGGTTATATTACACCATTATATGTACAGTTTTATGGTTTATGTATTTAAAGTAATCACTAAGGTCTTAAAGACACAGCACATTTTATTGTTTGGCTTATCTTAATCTGTATTTGTTTACAATCAAATATAAGCAAAAAACGTAAAAGTACAATTTGGAGCATCTTATGTTGTGCACAAATCCTGCTGCCAAGAGTACCTTAAAATAATTCCGAATGTTTAAAGTTTGCTATGGAATATATTTTGTTATGTGAAATAAAAAGATATCAACTCACAAAAATTATTTGTTTAGTGCCAATCATACTCTTTATTAGACAGCATATTGAAATACATGAGTTGTTTATATCATGTTTTGTGACTATGACCAGATGGAAGTAGATTACTGTGTAACACTACTGGTGCATCTGATCATCACAATTTCTGACATAAACAAGAAACTACAAGTGATAGAAATGATAGTGTTGCTTGGGTTAAATTAACACAACATATTGTTTAATAATTATATAAATAGTTTCTTTTTACAAATTATTGGAAGTTTTCTTTGCTGAAATAAATTGTCATTTGAGAATCTAACTAATTTTTGCATACAGTATTATTATACTGTATATTTAAAGTGTGTACTAATACAAACACGCTGAGATGATTTTAAATGCTTACCAAGGTGTTCTGATCAAACTATATCTTTATGTGTGGCCCTTAGATTGACATCCAGCCACCCACACGCACTTTCTCCCCATAACATGTTCTTCCCTTTCCATACCTCTTCTGCCTTCTTGTAATTTTACCTCTCTTTCCTATTAGTTTTTTTCCAACTGCCATCCCTTCACCCCACTCCAAAAAAAAATGAAGTACTCATGCAACAGAGATCTGTACCCATAGTGCACAAATTTCTGCTTTCTTGTACTTCTTGACCTCCAGTGAAGAAATGATTTGAGTAGTAGTGCTTCCCTTATACATTCCCTTATACATTCTGACCTTTTGAGTCCATAGAGGAATTCCGTCCTTATGCCAGACACATAGAGCTTTTGATGATGGGCTTTATGAGAATGTTCACTGTGCATATGGAAGTGACAGTACATTAACAATGGCATTTATATCCAGCTGTCATTAGAAAATGTGAATTTCTGGTTTTTGACACAACAAATTATAGATTACCACAAGACACTGAGATGGTTGTTAAATGAATACTTATTTAACCGAATATATTTCTTTATTTCAAGGTATCAGGAAATGCAAACAATGATCTTCATTCTGAAATAAAAATAGAAACATGTCTTATTATTATGTTCCAAATTAGTTTATTACATCTTAATTGACTTCGTTGGTGTTAAGATATGGCTAATTATTATTGTATAACCACTCAGTACAAAGGGATTTATTCACTAAATAATGATTTGAAAAATTTAGGGCAAAATAGTTGATTTAAAAACATTTCTTCAACTAAACTAAGCATGGTCATTTTAGCCTACATTTTGCAACTCAGATTTAAATTCAGTGCAGTTCTGTGGGGAGTATTGACAGGGGAACTGCAAATTAAAGGCACACACCAAGCACCAAAACCACTATAGCATGCAGTAGTTTTTCTCCTGTCAGGGTTGCCCTGGCATCCCCCAATGTAAGTAGTCATACAGTTGAGTTCTGCCAGTCACATCTCCTTGCCTCTCTGCAGCCAGAAACTCTCTTGACTGAGCTAAGCCCAGAGCTTCCAGCTCTGCAGAGAGGCAGGGGCCAGCTCTCAGACAATCATAGGTAAGACGTCTAACCATTAGAAAACTGTGTAACTACTTATTATGGGGATGAGGGACATCGGAGCACTCCTGGAATTATACCTACCGCAGAATCCATGAGTGTTTATGGTGATTGGAGCATTCCTTTAATAAAATATTGTACCCACATCAATGAATGTATTTACACACAAGTAAAAAGCAAACATCTACTACTTTTGTGCCACTATAACTATGTGTATATCCCCTATCTATGAATATTTTGTAAAGCTCTTTTGATAAGAACATTGTATTAGAAATGAAAAAGAAATGTCATACAGTGATAAAAGAGGAGCCCAATCAAAATATACAATACATAAATACATAAATTACAGAATTGGGGTACTTTTAGTATTTATGGAGAAGTATAAATGCATATCTTTTATTTGAAAACATTTCTTTTATACTTACATTAGATTGACGTGAATTTTATTGTGGAGCTGAAAGAAAAATAAACACAATCCAAGGTTAGGGATGCATGAAGATTCTATGGGAAAATGAAACCTGAAAAGTCTTGCAAACAAGTACAAACGTATTTCTTTTACAGGTTGATTTATATTTTAAGAGGCTATAAGCAGACATATTTAACACATTCCATTTGAAATTAATCTAATTTGAAATCCATTAAACAATGCAATAGACATGAAAATGTATATTTTAAAATTAATTATTTGCATAATTCTTTCTCATATTTAGTATAGACAAGTCACACATTTGATGTAACAACTTTAAATGACCAATAAAAAGGTAAAGAGGGTTCAAATGAGTCAATAATTTAACTTTAGACTTTAGACTTATGGGTATATAAAAGTCAAGTGTGCAAAAGGTTGTGAAGGTCCGGTCACACTTGAATATTTGGTTGGTTAGAGCGGTCACTATATTCTGTGGAAAACAAGAACAGTAAAACCTCAAGCTTCTCATATTTAGTATAAGTCTAGAAGTGCACAGGAGCGGTGGGGGGGGGGGGGGGGGGGGTATGAATGAGGATATCTGGAATTGACATGGTTTTTTTAAGGTTTTAGCACCTAATTGTAAAAAGGCTGGAATATCCCCTGTGGAGAGAAGCCAGTTGGTCCAAATGTCAGGGTAAGTTTGAGTGTGTCGATTAACACTAAGTTTAAGTTCGTCCATGGAGTGGAGCTACTCCACACGTTGGACCCACAAGATAAAAGGATGTTTTGCTTCAAGTACATTGGTATCAGAGCTTGGCCTTGTTAAGGATTCTGATTGTCAAATACTTTTTTACAAGCTGAGGTGCAGGCTTTGGTGTGGTGCAGTAGGAATGTACCAGGTTAGAAGAGAGAACGTCTTTATTATCGGATGAATTTTTTCCAAGTATAGGTGGATGATTGGACCTTCTCAGCAATTGTGGAAGAGTGTATCTTCCGCAATAGGATGTGAAGGTCTGGCTGCACGTGAATTTTTGGGTGGTTAGCGCTATAACTATAATGTTAGATGCCGTCCTATCAGGTTGAGGTGCTTAGTGTATTATGCTATCAAACAACCATTGAAAAGACAGGAAGGTATGAAGGTATTTCAAGTACTTACAAGTGGGTATGCTTAATGTACAAGAGATAGAGAAGATTAACCATAAAAAAGACAAAGTCAGATGGAACCAGAGATTTTATAAGAGAGGAAACAAAGCCAGGACAATGATGGCAGAGGTCAGAATAATCAAATGGAAAGCTGGGTCATAATAAAATTAAACACACCATAATATGCTATTTGGACCAGGCAGGAACCCCACAGGACAAAGAGCATGGAATGCACTGAAGGATATATACTGATTGACACTTGTCATTTGTCTTGATTAAACTTGTCTGTAGACATGATGTCATTCACATCAACCCAGGAACGTGGATCTGTTTACATACCTTGGCGCTGCTAAACTGTATGCTTTGCATACATTTAGTTGCAGGAGCAACATTCTACAATGCATATTGTTACAACTTTGATAGTTCAACTGTAATCCCCAGAGGACTGGTAACATATTTTATTTTTTTGAATCTATACTTCCCTTGTATCAATTGGAGAATTGTTTGTTTAGCGATCTGCCATGTGACTCATGGCCATGTTTAGCTTGTAGTTATTCCATCATACAGTGTCTATTTCAATGTTTTTCTTTGATTACATCTCATAGTATTATTTTATTTACATGCAACATATAGTGAATGTATTTGTATCAACTATTTGCTGCATTATGCTATATAGCATTGTTTAGTAATCCCTGGCACGTTGGTTTTTACATATTATTATTTGTTTGAAATTATTATTTTTTTTTAAATGCAAACATAGAGCAATTAATTTTCTTTTGTGCCCTCCATTTTTCCGTGATATAACCCAGGAATTGGAGTTTATCCCTGAAATCCTGAGGTCTAGAATGGTCTGGATTTCACATTAACGGGAGGGAGAGATACAGAAGGTTTAAAACTATTCCAAAACAGAGGTTTTAGCAAGGAATATGAAAGGCATTTGGAATGTCACAGACTCCATCTTTAACCAGTTCAGTGTGTGCATAATGTACAGGAAGCAGTTACCATGATATGACTTCCTGTTCTGTGAGCATGTGCTGGTGGTTACTTTAAAGGGACACTATAGGCACCCAAACCACTTCAGCTCATCCAAGCATGGATTAAAAAAGACAAGTGGTGACATGTTGTAGGACAGTGTGAAAGAGATCAGCGGAGGAGAGATATACAGTATCTCACAAAATGAGTACACCCATCACATTTTTGTAAATATTTTATTATATCTTTTCATGTGATAACACTGAAGAAATTACACTCAGCTACAATGTAAAGTAGTAAGTTTACAGCCTGTATAGCAGTGTAAATTTGCTGTCCCCTCAAAATACCTCAACACACAGCCATTAATTTCTAAACCATTGGCTGTGAGATACTGTATTTGTGTGTCATCAGAAACAGGTGGTAGGAGAGTCCACAGTATTTAATAAGTTTCAGAGAGGCAGTATAATGACAGAAAAGAAGGGGACCGTGAACAGGTCCTTGAGGGACTCCTACCGAGACAGGATGAGGGGAGGAGGTGACTTTGGAAAAGGAGATACTGAACAAATGTTGGGAGAGATAGGATGAGAACCACAAGAGGACAGTGTCACAGAGACCGAGGGAATGAAGAGTTTGGAAAAGGAGGACATAATCAACAGTGTCAAAAGCGGCAAAGAGGTCAAGAAGAATTAGTATGGAGTAGTGGCCTTTGGATTTAGTTGCAATTAGGTCATTTGTGACTTTAGTCAGAGCAGTCTCAGTAGAGTGGAGGGGGCGGAAGCCAGATGAAAGTGGGTCGAGGGGAGAGTTGGAATTGAGGAAGCAAGCCAAACGAGTAAAGACAAGTTTTTCTTGAAGCTTTGAGGAAAAAGAGATCAGGGATATGGGTCGATAGTTGGAAGGGGACAAACCTAGAAACAGATTATGTCCCAGTAGTACTTATATTTTAAACACATAATAGACCAAAGTGACTATATGTTCACTAGAACACTTATCTTAAATTTATCATAAATCCAGGGGCATTTAAAATTACCTAATGATCTACAAAGACATACAATTAGACATACAATTGTTTCGCAGTTATTGGTGTAATACAGAAACAGTTTTTCTCTTAAATAAAATGAAAGAGTCCAAATATGCATGTTAAAAAGATTCCTAACAAATGTTTAGAAAGACTCAAGTTTATATTATTTACAAAGTTTTTAAAAAAATTCTAATTAACTCTAAAAAATTTAAAAATGCTCTTGTCCAACAATTTGCTTGTCAACCAAAAAAAAAAAAAAAAAATATATATATATATATATATATATATATATATATATATATATATATATTGCCCCACGAATATACCTACAAAATAAAATTAAGGGCTGAAGTCAGCAAGCACCACTTTATAGAAAAAAGTATGTTACCTGGAATATACTTCAAGTGCTAAGTATTAAAGGAACTTGCAAATATGTTTGTTTGTATATCTAGAATAGCAATACTTGCTAGTCTAACCTATTTTGTAACATATGGGAGATGGAAGTAGGGCATATTAAAGAAAATAGTTGGAATATTATCAATATCACATTAAATGTTGTTTTTAAGAAGTCATTTTTTATGCAACATATATAAGTTAAGAACATTTGAATATACATGAGGCAGACATTATATGCAGTAGTATAATATACATAGTAAGTGAAACAAAAATGTTTCATAGTTCATGTTAGATTCTACATAAGCTGTATCTTAGAACTGTATTTAGCAGCTTTGATGAAATACTGTATTAAAATTGACCTGTCCAAAATTAGTTCTCCAGAGACAGTCCTTACATGAGGAGAGTGTTGACAAACCGTGTCATTTGGAGAGACATGTATTGTTCCAAAATACTGTCTGCAAGTCACCAACCTTGAAATCAATAACAGTTTTCAGTGCAATATAGGAAAAGCAAGTCAGAGGGGTCGATTGCATCCTGTAACAAACATAAGCATGCCAATAGGGCTTGCAAAATCGCACTTAGCTGGGCTACATTAGAAAATGAAAAGCTCATAGCCTAAGAGAGCAACGGACCAACCCCAAAACTTTTTTTAATTACGCTTATGCCAAAAAGGTTATGAGTGAAAGTGATCAGGGTGTTCCAGTAGACGTTGTCTACTTGGATTTTGCTGAGGCAATTGATAGAGTTCCACATAAATGGTTACTAGTAAAACTAAAATCAGCTGGTTTACACAAAAAAGGTTGTTTTTGAGTGCCCACAAATTTTAAGCGGAATGCCTCAGGGATCTATCCTGTGTCCACTTCCCTTTAATCCAGTGGTGGAACTACCGTAGTCACAGGGGCCGCATCTGCAACTGGGCCCGTCACTTCAGGAGGTCCGGCCGCCCTACGGACCCCTGTGACCACCAGCTGAGTAATGCGGCCCAGGCCCTCGCGGTTTAACTGCCAGGGCCATGCTGTTAGGGCCACCTGATGCTATGTAATTCCAGCTGATGTCAGAGGTTGGGAGGAAGTGACTGCCCCAGGAACTCTGACTCCCATCAGCCTAAGAAACTACTGGACCCCAGGGAAAGTATATGTGTCTGTATCTGAGTGTATGTCTGTCTGTGTGTCTGTATGTGTGTGAATGTCTGTGTGTGTGTGTGTATGACTGTGTGTCAGTCTGTATGTGTGTGTCTGTAAGTGTGTGTATGTCTGTGTGTCAGTATGTATGTATGTGTGTCTGTGTGTGTCTGTATGTGTGTGTCTGTCTGTGTGTATGTGTGTATGTCTGACTGTGTGTATGTCTGTATGTGTGTGTGTGTGTGTGTGTATGTCTGTCTGTGTCTGTCTGTATGTATGTGTCTCTGTGTGTGTGTTTGTGTGTGTGTATGCCTGTATGTGTGTGTCTACATGTGTGACTACATGTGTATCTGTTTGCATGTGTGGGGGAAGGGGGTAACGTATGGGAGAGGGACAATAGATGTATGGGAGGAGGGTGGCGGGGGGTGGGGTGACGTGCAGGGGGACCCCCAAGGCAATTTTCGCACCGGGACTCTGTGGTTTCTAGTTACGCCCCTGTTTTAATCTATTTATAAATGATCTTGAAGTGGACATTGAATGTCTTTTGCAAAAAAGTAATGATGGTCCAGGCACTCAAGTTAAGTTCAATCCAGTGGGGTGATTTATTGGAGCAATGTAGAAATGTTTCTACTTGAAGCAAATTGGAAGCATAATTGACTTGGAGAATTTTCTCGATTCAGCTAATTTGGCCTTAAATTTGAATGATGAGGATCTTTAAGAAAATCAGACCTTTTAAGCCAGATTGCCTATATTACTTACTTGCCTTTCTAAATTTTAATGATAACAAGTGTTATCATTAACAGTAACTCTTTTTTCTGTTTTAAAAAGCTGGTCGTGCTATTTTATGTTTGACTGATGCAATATTTTTTGCTAACTTCTTTAAAATCCATGATAGCACTCTCAAATTTGTAATTTTGTATTTCAATATTAAATCATCTGTGAACATACTGAAATACATATGGAAATATAATCAGGTGTAACCTAAAATTGCTTAAGTCAAAATATAACTCAATCGCTGAACCAGTGAAATTTTAGCACTAGCAGGAGAGGAAAACAAGGTCAGGACGTAAATCAATATAGATATGTCTTGCTGACCACAGTTAAATGAAATCTATCCCCATACATGAAAAAGATGCACAGGCTTTAAAACTGATGACTAGGCAGGCGTGACATATTATTTTGCCATTAGCGGAATACAATTAAGGTATTCAATACGTAAAACTAAGATTAACACAAATTAAAGTTGTGTGCACTTGAGCTGATATTAACTGTGCTTATTTTATTTAATAAGACAGAATGAGTTTTTGTAAATCTATAATAATATTTTTTATTACTATCTATAATTAATATGTATTATATTAATGATTTTCTACTAGCACTAGCAGGTGAATGAGGAACGTGTCTTAGTGACTTTGGTTCTAGCAGGAAGAAAAAATTAAAAGAGGGAGGCAAACTGGATTAAAGGTTTTCTGTTTACCTAGAAATTATATCAGCTCCACGGTGCTCTTAGTTTCAGATCAATATTGAATAGGGATTAGAATAAACCCAGCCATGACTGTCATGTTGTAACTCATTGAGTGACACCAAGAAGAAAGATTGTTTTTGTCAGAAAATATAGAATCTGGATTCAAAGAATCCTCCATTAGATGCCTATTCCTTTAAGAGACAAATAATGGCCAGGAGTTCTCTGTTGTGGAAATTCTGCCCCTGATATTTTTTTTTTTTAAATAACAACGTGTGGATGTGAATGATATTGACCTTGGAGGCAAAACTTGTTAAAGTGGAACTGTCACCCCCCACCGCCCGCAAAATGAGTATTTTGTAAAGATATGAAACAATCATATTGACTGTTTTCCACTGAAATTCCAACCCATTCAAAAGATATGCAGAGACAAAGTGGTTCCTACTTTGTCTCAGTAGAGCTATCCCTGTCAAGACATGTAATTTTACCCAGCCATCATGGCTTAAGAGCGGTAGCTCTTCTATGGAGGATTCCATGGTCTCCATAAATGCTGTACTCTTCTGCATGCACGAGAGTACAGCAGTGACGTTGGCTCCTAGCAACAGAAGTGCCAGGAACAGAATAGGAATGGCAGGAAGACAATGGCAGCGCCTGCAAGGGACCGATTCAGGTAAGTAAAACTCACCTTTGCTTGTCGCATAGCCACCGAATGCCTAGTAACGATAATTTGCAAAGACCCAAGATGGTGACAAATTCGCTTTAAGTGACAGCATGTTTTAGAACCATGATCAAAGTAAACTCTCTTAGAGAATGTCTACCGAGTTCAGTGCTCCCTTTTTTTTGTCACGGCATTAATAGATTAGATAACAGAGGAGATTCCCAGTACAAATTTCAAATAATAATTGATTAATCCTTTGAATCTTTGTGGGTCAATGTGTAATGGTCAATCCAAGATGGCAGTTCGTTTCTGCAGATCCATTGTAAAGCCTGGATTACGTACCCTAAATAATTATTTTGTTTTCATCTGGATTCATCTGGATTTGTTATGCATGTTGCAAAAAATATATATTTTCTCAGAACACGTGGAGAACTGCTTCACTATGTGTTCAGTGAGTAACTAAATCTTTTGAATAGATGAGAGCTACTTGTAGATGTTCCTTCAATATATCGTTTATGAAGTCTCAGGGGAAAAAAAGTCTTCATTGTCTAAAACATGTACTACTTTGAAGCAGTGGAAGGCCTAAAACAGTATGGCCATATTAGGTGACCTAATCCCTAATGTTTACAATATTTGTTAACATTTGAATTAGCCGTGTAAGATTTGCAACCATAGTTTTGAGAGTGCTATTGCCTTAATCTCTATTTCATAAACATTTTGGTCCTTATTTTTGAAGTGCTACTCTAAGATTGGTAGACTTGAAAATGCAAAGTTAGAAACACCAGGGACATGTGCAACCTTGAACAGAATACTCTAGTAACTACCTTTACCACCACAAACAAGTTCACCTTATCATACAAAAACATTGGCATGTTCTAAACTCAGACCCAAAATTGAGTGATCTATTTAGGGATCCTCCTTTGTGTCTTTCAAAAGATCAAGAAATCTGAGAGACAAACTGGTCAATGCAGCTTCACCACCTGTGACTAAGGAAAATACTATAATGCTCTCCACAGTGAAGAGTATGTTCCACTGTGGACACCGTATTAATTGTAACAATGTGATACATGTGGATATGGTATGTCTTTCAAAAACTGAAGAAGTACTCCATATGGGATTTCATGAACTATCAGACTCTCTATGTTGTGTACATGCTGAATTGTTCTTGCAGTGTGGAATATGTTGGGGAGACAACTTGGAATTTGACAGTGCGCATAGGTGAACACAAAATGTGACATTACTGCCAAACATCATCAGCCACAAGACATTTCGACATGTGCTCACATTCTTTATCACAGTTGAAATTCATGGCAATCGAGCAAGTTAAACCACCAAGTAGAGAATGTGATCATACTGAACAACTTAAACAGCCCGAACAGACATGCAGTACATAGAAATACAACATGGTTCGAAAGCCTGTGCGTCGACACACCTGAAGTGGATGGGAGAGTCTCCATAATATACCAGAGAATACTGTTGGGTGACCGAATCAGAAATATAGTGTTTAAGGGTCAATGGGAAGACCTCACGGGCAGGACATACAGTGACGCACAATGGGAACAGAACCTCATACTGCAACATAAGAGTTCGATCAGCTCAAAATACCAGGAGGCCAATTTTAAACTGCTATCCCACTGGTACCGAACACCTGCGTTGCTACACAGGATATTCCCAGGGACCCCTGACACATGCTGGAGATGCGAGACCCACACGGGAACAGTACGACACATATGGTTGGACTGCTCTAAAATACAACCATATTGGGACCGAATCCGACAAGAACTGAACGTGATCCTGAGCGACATACCAGACCTCAGCATAGAAGCCGCCCTACTCCACTTCACGGACCAATCCGTAGCCCAATATAAGAGATCAATTCTGAGACATCTACTCAATGCGGCTAAAGCCCTAATCCCAACGCTATGGAAAAGCACACAACCACCCACGATCGCGCAATGGCAACATAAAGTTGAAGAAATTCATACAGCGGAGGCAAAGAATGCGGACTTACAAGGGAGAAGCACCAAACACGTAGATTTATGGAGGCCATGGTACATGTACCTAACACGTCCGTGAGCACAGGGAGGGGGGGGAGATACAGGGGACACCGAGACGCACACAAACAATATATAACCTACACAAGCAGCCTCCCCCTTTGGGGCCTCCCCCACCCCCTTTTTTTTTCCTCTCTCTCTCTCTCTTCTTCTTTCCCTACACTACCCTGACCTGCCTCGGGGCTCGGACGGGGAGGAGAGGGGGCAACTCACCCATGGAGGCGTACCCTGTGACCTCCTAATTAGCCTTGACCACAGCTCCATTACCTCACAACCATAGCAGGAAAAGAAAAATAAGTCAACCAAATAAACGAAAACATGACACATGAGACAACCCACTACCACACACACAAACAGGTAAATGCCAGACCACGCAATAAAACACTCACAAACGCCCTGACCCTGGCCAAAGACGATACGGCCCAATTTGGAGTAACAAAGACCGAAAGAGGGGCGACACACCCCTCTCCCAGCCCCACCCATACCCTGAGACCCTAAACCCGATCCACACGCAGACCTATGACACGAGAGAATTGACCACACTGACAATCACCGAGACTGAGACGATAGCAAAACTCAGAAATACAATCCTAGGTTTATGTAAGAGCGTATTGAAACACATTCCTGCACTTTGTTAACTGAAAACTGAAAAGTAAACCACTAAAGTCAAAGTCAAACACCCCGATACCGGTATTGGGGACTTACAATCCCGCATCTGAATGACGTGACCATGATGTACACCTTGCTAAGAGACCTGCGAGTCTCCTTACCACTGAAGTTGACGCAGAGATTTGCATATCTCAATGTATAATAGGCTCCTACAAGTATAAGAAACCTGCGAGTTTCACAATGTTTATCAACTAACTGCATTTTACAACATGAAAAAACCATAATAAAGAAATAATAAAAAAAAAAACTTAAACAGAGGGAGCTCCATTAGATCTATGAATTGGTCAACTATACCTCAGGGCAGGGACGTTTTAGCCGCGAGGCAAACAAGGCATTTGCCTTGGGTGGCATTTTTCAGGGGACGGCAAAAAACACCGCCCCTAAATGCCCAGGGCAAATGCCTAGTTAGCCTTGCGGCTAACTGACATGCTGGGCGCTGGGCGGGTGGGCGGCTAGCGAGGGAGCACTTCCTCTGAGCGGTCTGCTCAGCTCCCTCGCGCGCCACAGAGTGAGGCTGGGAGCCGGAATATGACATCATCAACCCGGCTCCCAGCCTCACTCTGCGGCGCGCGAGGGAGCTGAGCGGACCGCTCAGAGGAAGTGCTCCCTCGCCAGCCGCCCGCCAGACCATTAGCCCGACCGGCAGCCACTGGACCCCAGGGACAGAAAGGAACCCCCCCAGCATTCCCAAAGGTTAGGAAGCTGGGGGGTTAAATTAAAAAAAAAGTGTTAATGTGAGTGATTGTGTGTGTGTGTGTGTGTGTCTGACTGTGTGTGTGTTTGTGTCTGACTGTGTCTGTGTTTGTGTCTGACTGTGTGTGTGTGTCTGACTGTGTTTGTGTCTGACTGTGTGTGTGTGTGTGTGTTTGTGTCTGACTGTGTGTGTGTGTGTCTGACTGTGTTTGTGTGTGTCTGATTATGTGTGTGTTTGTGTCTGACTGTGTGTGTGTGTGTGTCTGACTGTGTTTGTGTCTGACTGTGTTTGTCTGACTGTGTGTGTGTCTGACTGTGTGTGTGTGTGCCTGACTGTGTGTGTGTGTGTCTGACTGTGTCTGTGTGTGTGTGTCTGACTGTGTGTGTCTGCGTGTGTGTGTGTGTCTGACTGTGTGTGTGTGTGTGTCTGACTGTGTGTGTGTGTGTCTGACTGTGTGTGTGTGTCTGACTGTGTGTGTGTGTGTCTGACTGTGTGTGTGTTTGTGTCTGACTGTGTGTGTGTGTGTGTCTGACGTGTGTGTGTGTGTGTCTGACTGTGTGTGTGTGTGTCTGTGTGTGTGGACTGTGTGTGTGTGTGTGTGTGTCTGACTGTTTGTGTCTGACCGTGTGCGTCTCTGACTGTGTGTCTGACTGTGTGTCTGACTGTGTGTCTGACTGTGTGTCTGACTGTGTGTCTGACTGTGTGTCTGACTGTGTGTCTGACTGTGTGTCTGACTGTGTGTGTGTTTGTGTGTGTCTGACTGTGTGTGTGTGTCTGACTGTGTGTGTGTTTGTGTGTGTCTGACTGTGTGTGTGTGTCTGACTGTGTGTGTGTCTGACTGTTTCTGTGTGTGTGTGTGTGTGTGTGTGTGTCTGACTATGTGTGTATTTAGAAGGTGGGGTGGGGGGGAAGGGTTGGGTGGGTGGGGGTGGCGTGGGGGGAGGGGGGCCCCTGAGTTTTGTCCTGCCTAGGGCAGCACAAAACCAGGATACACCACTGCCTCAGGGGCTTAAATGTAGATAATGATTTTTCCTGTTGGCATCAATCTTGTCAAACCTTGTTTTCTCCATTACACTCCCAGATTCTTTGGACCATTAATGTTGGTGCTCTTGAATCATGTTCCTGATATGGAACACGTATTTATCCTGTATGATTTCTGGTATTGAGAACTTTGAACTTTACATAATAGATGGGTTTTCTCTAACAATTATTATGTAGTAAATTTTATTCCACTACTGTATACATTATCAAACAGTTTTATATATTATATAGGAACTGAGTATTACTTTATTTTGGTTTCTTTAAAACGTATTGATGCGTACTGAGTATTATGGAATACTAATGTGATTTTTCTTTATGATGGGACTTAGATTTAGTGATTTTTGCTGTTATCTTTCATTCCTTTTCATCTTTTATATTATTTAGGTCCATGTGAATATTCCCATTATAGGGACCATGCAACATTATTTAAATTTTTCTTTATTTGTATTATATTTCTATGCCCTCTTCAGCATTCATGCCCTGGTACCTCATTTGGTGCCTGGGAAGGCACCTTTAGGACAACATTTATCTCCCTCTATAAATTGTACTGCATTTAGGACTTTTTTTTTCTAATGGTTCGCCATTGAGGGCCCTGGGTCTGCCTTTCATTGTTGGCAATTCCCAGTTGCAGATGCAAGCAAGTGAAAACTCATGCTCAGCTTACTAGAATCTTTTCCTTGATACTGTATACTCATTTTTTATATGGTTGGTTAATCATAACCCCTTTAGAACTTCTCTCAAGGGATTTATTCGTTTTTTTTTTTTATATATATATATCTTTCTCCTTTTTGCCGTATGCACATCATTTCTGCATGTGGGTGTCACAACAGGACTTTTGGAATCTGCTAAGATCTGTTACCGTGATTGTCCACACATCCCTTGGACCAGGGGACTTGTTTTGCTGCCTATTCTTTTTTTTTTGTTTTGGGTGCTATTTAAATTATTATTTTTTCCCTCTGATGCTAGATCCCTTGAGAAAAGTCCATCTGGCAAAACATTAGGATACTCCGCTATGCTATTATAGAGTAAAAGAAAAACCCTTACAATATAGTCCAACTGCATTTGACTCTATTTAGACTTAAAAGCTCTTTTATTTCAATACTTGCTTTCTACATTATTTTTTTCCTCTGATGCTAGATCCCTTGAGAAAAGTCCACCTGGCAAAACATTGGCATACTCCGCTATCCTATTATAGATTAAAAGGAAAACGCTTACCATATAGCCCAACAACATTTGACTCTATTTAGACTTAAAAGCTATTTTATTTCCATACTTACTTTCTACATTATTTTTTTCTTTTAATTATTTATTGATCTAATAAAGACTAACTTTGTTCCACTAACTTGGTGTGCAGCAGTGCCTTATTAAATGCATCCTGTATCAAGTCTTTAAAAAAAAAAAAAAAACAGACTTAGGCTGACATTGTAGGTGTTAAAACACCCAGACCACTTCCGCTCATTGAAGTGGTCTGGGTGCAGTGCCCCAAGTACCTTAACCCTGCAAAAGTAATTATTGCAGTTTTAATATGATGCAATAATTACCTTTTGAGGGTTAACTCCACCTCTAGTGGCTGTCTACCAAAAGTCGCCTAACTGACGACTACCTCTGTATCTACCTCTCTGAAAATAAGACATCCACCGAAAATAATCCTTAGCTTATTTTCAGGGGATACTCGTAATATAAGCCCAATCCCGAAATTAGGCCCTCGTTGAGATTGTTGCTAGTAAGCAAATCTTTGTTCAAGTAAGTTTCCCCAAACATAGATCTGCGGGTTTCCATGCGCTAGTAAGCTAATCTATTTTCGGGGAAGTTTCCTTCCCTCAACATAGATTTGCGGGATTCCATGTGTTACTAAACTAATCTATGCTCTGGGAAGTTTCCCCAAACATACATTCGCAGGATTCCATGCGCTAGTGAACTGGCCTATGTTTGGGGGAATTCCCCCAAACGTAGACCTGCTTTCTTGCACATGCTTGCTAGTGCATCCTCACTTACGTCTGTGTCATAAGAACGGAACCTGGTCAGTAAGCGAGGACCACCTGTAATATATAAAAATAAGACATCCCCTGAAAATAAACCCTAGTGTGTATTTTTGGGGTAATACATGAAAAAACAGTTGGTCTTTGACAATCTATGAGAATTATGTAATTTGCTAGATATTTAATATCAATTTAAAATAAATCTGAGGATGATGAAAAAAATTCAAAACAAGGTATAGATGATTTTCAATGTTTCATCCAATTGTGTAAACTCCAGAGACGTGACAGTGCAACTTTAACATAACAGAGTTACGAGCAATACAATACATTAGCATAATAACTTAATTATTAGTCAATAATAAAAATCAAAGAAGAACAGCTCAAGCATAAAAATATAAACAAGGAAATGAGCACAGGACAAGAACAGAGAAAACAGATAGAAGAGCACTTAGTGTCACAAAAGGGTTTATCAGAAATAACAATAGCAATTGTGACATTTGAGGTACCAAATGTCACAATGATAAGACTAGGCAGATCAAAAGTAACATGTAAAATAATAGGCATATGGTGAATCACTATTGGCAAATCCTAAAAAAAGAACTGTTTTAAGAAATATCACAGAAAGCAGCAGAATGAATATAGCAGTATTTTTCTGATGACACAGACTCTGTGTGAAGGTGCACAATGAGTCACCAAATGAATGCACATTAGTTTATGATCTGACATGGTTTGGGAACTATATTTCAGTTAAGATTGTTGAAACCAGTTCCCATAGCTAAGCTTTGGTAGGCTACTGTGCATGCGCCATGTGCTGAGCCAATTAACATCTCCTTATAGATTTAGTGCATTCAGCGTCTACTTCCAGAGCGTGGAGATGCTGAACGTAGGTACTGCACACTGTGCAGCATTGACATAGGAAACACCTACAGTGGACGTTGAGGTGTTATTAGGCAGTAATGTAGACATTGCTTTATCTCAGAAAAGGCAGTGTTTAAATTTAAAAGCCTGCAGGGACATGCTGTAGACACCAAAACCATCACATTAAGCTGCAGTGTTTCTGGTGACTATAATATCCCTTTAAATACAGTAAAGAAATTCTATATACAGGGCACTTGAATTAGATAGATAGAAACCAGCTGCAAAATAACCTGAATGTAATGCAACTGCACACAAATGCAGTCTTTAAAATGAATTGAGTTCCCCTTTAAGTTAGCAAAAACATGTTATATAGCCCAACATCTTTTAAGTAACTGGTTTGTATGTTTCTAAAATTGTATTAAATTATAATTGTTATATATTCTATATACTAGTGGGCTAGTTATACTGTCAGGTATTATATTTTTGAATACAATAGCATGAAGTTTACCTCTAATATCAAGTCTGCAGTCGACAGCTGCTTCTCCTAGAGAATTAATGGCTTTGCAGGTGTACACACCACCATCAAAAGCCCCAGGCTTTCGGATTTCCAGTGTACAGACTCCATGGTTAACAAGACATCTATATTTAGGGTCTTCTCCAATTATCATTTGATTTTTCATCCACACAATTTTCGGCTAGGAAAAAAAAAATGTTTTACAACATCAGGCCCAATAGATATTCACACTTAACTTTAATGTGATAATGTATTAGAAAAAGGCATGAAGGCATGTTACTCTTGGGATTTCTGGTGTAAATGATAACAGAAAGTAAAAGAAGAAATACTAAAAATAAAAATAGTACTACAAATCTAATGATACAGTGAATGTATAGCTGATTCATCCATTTTTAAACCCATATATGTGTTATTTTTCCGTTATAGGGGCACTATATTAACAATATCCAGTACAGCTCACTATAGTTCATGTCACAGAAAAGCACACTACACACCACTACCAATATAGTGCGCTGAAGTGGTTATAGACAGGGGTCGAGACAGGGGGGGATATGATGGAAGCATTTAAATACATAAAGGAAATCAACACAGTTAAGGAGGAGACTATATTTAAAAGAAGAAAAACTACCACAACAAGAGGACGTAGTCTTAAATTGGGCAGACTAGATGGGCCAAATGGTTCCTATCTGCCGTCACATTCTATTTAGCTCTCTTGTGGAATCCCACAGTAAAGGATCGAACAATTTTTGAAATTTTTTATGCCCCTTGAAGGGGTACTTATAGTATTTTTTTGATATTGCTAAAGCATATGTTTTCATTCCAGTTTAGCAAGAATTGTTTTATCCAATTTTGAACATCATCAGTTGGGTGGGAGTGTCAGCAGATTTTCTGTATGTGCGGTCCTCTTTAATTTTTCTATTTTGCATCTTTTTTTGGATATGTTGGTTCAATTAATGATTAATATTCATCAGTGGGTTAGCTGTTTTATAGGAACTATACACCTGCATTGGGATATGTAGGATCAAGATGCAGGTGGCTCTTGAGGCCCTGGTGGGGGATACCAGAGAACTAAATCGGGATGGCAGGACATGACCTAAAATAGGGACGGTCTCACTTAAAGTTTGATAGTTGGGAGCTCGAAAAACAAACTTTTAACTCTGCTCTATTGAGTATTCTAAATATGAATTTTGCTACATGGCCCTTGAAATAGCAAGGATTGTACCAATAACGCAAAAAAAAAAGAGAAACTAGGCAAAGTCGTCGACTAGACAAAGTGAGAACGCAGCCCCCTGGATATTGTATCAATAATGCAATTAAATTTCTTACCTTAGGACTGCCACGCACACAACAGTATAGTTTAGTACTGTATCCATGGGTGGTTGTTCTATCATTGAGAGCTTGAGTAAATTTGGGGGCTTCGGTAAGTTCACGTTCTTTATATTCTGGGGGGGTGTAAGTAGATCCTGTAAATAAAATACACATATTGAGTTTTTGAATTTCAATTTGTGGTTTAATGTTACAAGTAAACTCTTCTAACACAGTGAATATCTGTTTTTATTTTAACGTATTAAAATGAACAAGCATGGAGTTGTAAAGGATAGAATTTACTATAAACAGAATATTAAATTAAATATCACTAAATAATTATTTTTTAAACCAGCAAACAAACTTTTAAACAAATATTTAAACAAAATAAAGCAAGAATTTTTTTATTTTTTTTAAGTATGTAATAAATGTTTAGAAACTTGCTATAAACTTTATAAGATTGCAATTTAGGGGAGTTTCTATAGTCACCCATTCTCCTTTTACCCACCCATTTCAATTTCATACAAGTCCACTAATGACAGAAACAGGGCATCATTGTGCAGCAGCATGAGAGAGAGACCCAACACTGGAGCCTCCTCTGCATGAACACACAGATCAGACTCCTTCTCTTCTCCCTCTGTCAGGACGTTACAAGAAATCTTTCAACTGCACAAATCTTTCAGGCACTTTTCCAGCATTCCTAGGGATAGGACACTGATTGGTTAGATCAGTGTCAACCCTGGAGTGGGTGTGGAAAGCATAGGAAAGAAGAAGCAGGTAAATATAAAAAAACAAACAAATTTAATTGCTTTTTTCAACGTGCAGATTGAGGCAACTATATCATTCAAGCTAAAAATTTTGAATTAGATAGTTGTCTCAAAGTTATGCATATCCTTTAAAGTTAACTTGGAGAAAATTTCCAACTTGCCTATTTATGCTTAAAATGTGATAATCACTTCAAATAAACTTTGAACTAGCAAAAACACACATTTTAATATGTAAACCTTTTATTAATTTAATTTAAAAATAAGTAACTGACCTTGTTTCTTAATGACGGCAAAATCTTTAGTCACAGCAGCTTTCTCACTTAATCCACACAGGTTTTCAGAGAACACGCGGAAATAATAGGAATTACCAATGATCAAGTCAGATATAGTACAGTTAGTTTGGTGGTGATGTTCATGAACAGTAAACCATTCCTAAGGGGAAAACCAAAAACTAAGCTTATCAATAAGAGCAAAAAGATCCATTACATATTATATATATTCTTGTGAACTTGGACCTGTCAGGAATACTGCAAGACCCAACACGTAGAAATCTGGACTAGTGAGTTATAATAGCCTAATCAAGACGTATAGATAGGACAATAGTCAGTAATAGCTAAGATCAAAACCAGAAATACAATGAGACGTATATAACGTGCCATTGGGAACAAAAACAGAACTTCAAGAGGGCAAGGACCTGAGCCCTAGCAAACAATTTATAGTCTGGCACAAACTCAATAGCCACTCCCCCAAAAAGTTAGAATTTTTTCATTTTGGTAAGCTGTGATGTAATCAGCGTCATGACATAGGCACACACACGCTGTGTCATATAAGGGGCGAAGTCACAGCAGCTGAAGTTTGGACCTCTGCTCTGTAGAGAGGAGGAGGACCATGAAGAAGGTCACCGACCACCTGTAAGCTGTCCCTAGGCTTTGCAGCAGACTGACTTATATAAGGTATCAAGACAGTGAAAAACATCATTCATCAGCAGCACGTAAATTGAAAATGTAAAATATTAGAGAAAATATTCATTAACTAATAAACAAGAATGGACTTCCTATACTTACCCCGGTCTTCTTATCTGCTTTCTGAACAGTATAACCTGTTATCTCCGCATTACCATCATCACCTGGTGGAGTCCATTCAAGTGCTGCATTAAATCCCCATACGTCTAGCAATTTAATGCTCTTTGGAGGACCAGGTCGTTCTTAGAAGAAAAAAAAAGTCAGTAAAATGAAAAATAAATATAGTTTGCATTATACTAACAGTGAAATGCAAGTGTTAGTGTATATAACGCTAATTTCTTGTTTGTTACTTAATCCATTTTATTTCTAGCTAGACATTTAGCTGATAAATTTATTTAATTGAAAATAAATAAGTATGTATAATTATACAGTTTCACTGGAAACTATAAGGTAAACGTGTTTCTCTGTTTGATTAATGCATTTGAAAGCTTCATGGAGCTAAACTGGCAGGAAGAAGCATATCCCAGCTATCTGACAGGGAGGAGTTTTTTTGTTTTTTTTTACATTCTCTTCTTTATTGAGGTTAAAGCGTTATAGACAATAGATGGGGATGTTAGACATATTTTCGATAACCATGAGGCAATTCCTAAACAGACACTGCAGTTCACCTCAATATTTATAATATACGTAGGGACAGGGAGATGTTTTACATTCATTAATAAAATGCTGACTCTTCCTTTAATAGAATAGGAAAAAAACACCAGAAATATTTACCAGCAATTTTTATTTCGATTTTGGCTTTGTCTTCCAAAGTGTCGATTTTTATGGTCAATTCATATATTCCAGAATCCTTCCTCTCAGATTTTCTGATGAAGAGAATTGTGTCACTGTCACTAGTTCTGACACTAGAATGCTTGGGATCCAGTGGTTGTCCATCTTTAGTCCAAATTGCCTGTGGTTTTGGTTTTCCCTAGAAAACCAGGAAAATAAAACCAGTGTTATATAAACTAAAACTAAAAAGTAATTTAGCTGCTATTTTTCAATCAATTGCTGCCATGATTTACTGCTTTGGATACATATATTTGACACGGTGCATATGAGCGTTTTGTTATTGGTTTTAGTATGGACAGTATAAGGTTGGGATGTGAATTGTGGAAGGTTGGTTAATTGAAAGTGTTAGTTGTATATTGGGGAAGAGGGTTAATTGGCAGACCAAGGCCCAACCCCTCCACTCCTTAATATCTTCTAGATACACATCTTCACACACTTACAGACACATACACCAATACACACACTCACACACACATCAAGAAACACTCACACACAGATAGACACACACACACTCACTTTCAGGAATCCCTGAATAACCCTTCACATGTATATATTTTTTTAAAAGAAGACAACCTAAAGTATTAAACTTGGGGTATTTTGACTCTTTTCATGCAATCATTTTACCACCAATCTATGCCAAATTTAAAAAAATAATAATAATTGGTGATTTTTTTTTGACACACATAGCAATTTAAGAATACATGTACAGAGAACTTTAAGGGTAACTGCCAAAGATCACCCCAATATGTGATCAGCAACATCTGTGGAGGTGTGTCAGGTTCTCTGGGGTCTAGAAGACCTTATTTGGAGGATGCGCATTCCAGTTTTCCAACTTGGAATTTTCACAGCTGGTCATCATGCACCCATTTCCTATTTGGGACATTTTTGAAGCCGGCCAATATAATTTACCCCCATCAAACCATATATTTTTGAAAAGTAGACACCCTCGGGTATTTCAAATGGTGGTATTTTAACACTTTCCATGCACTAATTGTACCACCAGTCTTTGTCAAACTTTTGGATAGTCATTTTTTTGTGTTATTTTTCTCTCACATTGTACTTTAGGCATGGATTCTCAGTTCCTCTTATGTGTTACTGACAAAAAACACCCCAATATGTGTTCACCAACATCTCCCGAGTACAACAGTGCCCTCAATGTACAGGTTTTATGGGTTTTTGCAAACTTACAGGGGTAAAATGTAGGGCTTTCCCCTTTTCCATGTTTGCACATTGAAATTTGCCAGATTGGTTTGCTGGGCCTATGTTGCCTTTGAGACCGTAGTGCAGCCTAGGAATAAAAATGAACCCCATCATGGCATACCATTTGTAAAAGTAGACAACCCACGGAATTCGAAATGGGGTATGTCCAGTCTTTAGTAGTAGCCACTTAGTCACAAATGCTGGCCAAAGTTAGTATTTTTATTTGTTTTTTTATAAAAAAAATTTCAATTTATATTATATATATGTGTGTGTATAACATGTGTGTGTATATTATATATGTATACACACCTTTATAAACACACACACACTTTTATTTCCTATATATGGATAATATCCCCACGACGGCTCCCACATACGCCTGGTCGTAAGTGCGAGCCGTCATAAAACAGGTAGGTTGCTAAATGAGGACCACCTTTATATGTATAATATATTTATTTCATTATTTTTATTTTTTACTTTTTAGCAGCCTGGGGGACTGTCTGATAGATCAGACAGTCCCCCTGCTGGCAGCTCCTAGAGTCCTATTGTGGCGATGTGATCATGGCCCAGGGTGGAGTTGCTGCAGGGAGACTGCTGGGGTCTCCGGCAGTTACCCCAGACCGTGATCGCCACAGATCGCCGGTCCAGGTAAGTCCAGGGCTCCTATTTGCCGCGGACATACTAGGTAAGCCAGCGGTCCTTAACTACCGTTTTTTTGTCATTAAAGGGACACTATAGTCACCTGAACAACTTTAGCTTAATGAAGCAGTTTTGGTGTATAGAACATGCCCCTGCAGCCTCACTGCTCAATCCTCTGCCATTTAGGAGTTAAATCCCTTTGTTTATGAACCCTAGTCACACCTCCCTGCATGTGACTTGCACAGCCTTCTATAAACACTTCCTGTAAAGAGAGCCCTATTTAGGCTTTCTTTATTGCAAGTTCTGTTTAATTAAGATTTTCTTATCCCCTGCTATGTTAATAGCTTGCTAGACCCTGCAAGAGCCTCCTGTATGTGATTAAAGTTCAATTTAGAGATTGAGATACAATTATTTAAGGTAAATTACATCTGTTTGAAAGTGAAACCAGTTTTTTTTTTTTCATGCAGGCTCTGTCAATCATAGCCAGGGGAGGTGTGGCTAGGGCTGCATAAACAGAAACAAAGTGATTTAACTCCTAAATGACAGTGAATTGAGCAGTGACATTGCAGGGGAATGATCTATACACTAAAACTGCTTTATTTAGCTAAAGTAATTTAGGTGACTATAGTGTTCCTTTAAGGGGATATACATAGATATATATATATATACATATATATAATTTCATTCTAAGTTTATTTTGATATAAATATGTATATTAATATCAAAATACAGTTAGAATAAAATTACATATATATATATATAATTACAAAATATTGTTACAGTTTATTTTTTATTAATTATTTATTTTTATAATATATATAGTTATTATACATATTATATATATATATATAAAAGTGTGTAATTTTACTCTAAGTGTATTTTTGTAGTAATATATGTATATATGAATAAAAAAATACACTTAGTATGACGTTATGTATAAGATATATATACATACTATATATATATATATATATATATATATAATATATGTATATATATATATATATATATATATATTTGTTAATTTATTATTTACATTTTTTTTTTTTTATTTAAACTTTTTTTTTACTTTTTCACCAGCAGGGGGACTGTCTGTCAGTATTCTACGATTCCTTGATATCGAAGCATCGTATTATACCCTTCCAGAGCTTAAATTTACAGCAGACGTATGAGGTACGTTCGCGGTCCTTAAGGACCGTTTTTGTCGGACGTACCTCATACGTCCGCTGTCCTCAAGGGGTTAATCCTGTGCTCCTCATAGAGGCCATGTGCACATTCATACTTTCCTGTAGGAAACTGATGAATAAATGCTTTCCTTTTGGGCTTTTGCATCACGTGACTTAATGTCAACCTTAATGTTGTCATTGCAGTTTAGTTTCTCAAAACCTAAAATGTTTTACATTGCAGGGTTAAGTGGACAGGGATACTGTACCCAGACCACTTCAATTAAATTAACTGATCTAGGTGACTATAGTGTTCTTTTAAGTAATGTGACTTTCAAATATTTTTACAAGAAACATTCCAGGAGCAAATAAAATTATATCAGTATAAACCATTTTTGGAATTACATTGCTTAAACTCATTACCTGAAATGGAATCACAAGATTCACTGTGTCTCCAACGTGCTTAATAAATACTTGGCGCAGGTATCTTGGAAGACGAATTTTTGGACGATCTAAATGGCAATAATAAAATACAAGATGATATTAGACAATTATTGCTTGTTTCATTTTCAATTTAAAAATATAAATAGTTATTTGATTTCTATACAATCTACCACTAATATGATGACCCAATGCACATTTACAGTTTCCAGCGTGTTCATTCTTCTGACTCATTGTTATTGCCTACACAGGGACCAGCTTACTTATTCATTGGGACTCATAGAGATATTTTCCCCTTTGGTTTCATCTATATCCATGACACCAAAGAAATATGAAAAGCCAGTACAATTTACACGTGCACTTGATCAATTTGCATGAGGGAGATAAGACTAAATTGGGTCTGGCATTTTAGAAAGGATATGTAATGACGTGTTTGTTTGTTTGTTTGTTAGTTTGTATGCTTTTCTGTGGAGAAAAATCAGAACATGCTTTATCATCATCATTTATATAAAGCCAACTAATTCTGCAGCACTTTAAGATTTATACGATAATCAGCAAGAAAGTTGGACCGGGCAAATACAGGTGGTATGAAGGCAGAATTTATTGGAAAACCATACATTTCAGCTCCCACAGGAGCCTTTATTAAGCTAACACAAACACAGAGATATTCCAGAGTTATATTTACTTTTGTGCCAGGGGCAAGTTGCATTCTTGTCACACATGACTTTGGCAGTCCAGCCCTCTGTTTCAGACTGCTACATCTCAATTCTGTGACAAAAGTGGGACTTGTCATAAGTGACATAATTACCTTCTTCACATTGCAGACGAGGAGAGACCGAATCCGATGATGTGCAAGGACAACATATGCATGGAATGGATCGGGAGCGAAGTTCATTCAGCACTTGAGTTAAGCCAGGTTTTTATCTATATTCAATCAGTTTTAAATTACTAACAAGCACTACTAACAACACAAGTTGAAATGTATAAATACATACCTCAACTTCAACCAATCTCGCAATATGCTCTAATAGCAACTTTACAAATAATTGTTCCTGATCTAGGTATCTCAGGCTAGGTGATTGCTGGGGTGGAAACTATTGATTATATACTAAGAGGAAATGCCATCTTGCCCCTTTTCTCCTTACAGTCACAATATAGTATCTCACATCATCATTTTTATAAATATTTAAGGATTCAGCACTGTCTGGCCTCCCGAATGTTATCTAGAGGATCAGCTGCAGATGCCTTTTTTCTAATTTATTGAAAAATGCTCCTAAAAGGGGTAAATCCGTCTCGGTATGCAATCAACCCTTAATATATTCAGAGAAACTTTCCTTTAAATCAGGATGGGAAAAGGAGTTAAGTCGTTTCATTTCTGACTAGGATTTGATGTTTTTTTTTTTTATTCTTTATTTTGGACGTGCAGTTATAACAGTACAACAGATCTCGCCACAACTGCAATAAAAGACATGTTAATGAACATAACAGATAACATTGTGACTGTAGGGTAGCACATTTTATAAATTTTATAGTAGTGTAGTTAGTACTGTCATGAGTGTAGTAAAAGTAAAGTGTTGCTTCTTATACCCTTTGAAATTGAGGATGCACGTCAGAGAAGGTTGCTTGGAAGGGGTGTAGCCTGTAGTCTGTCCCCCAGGGGGAGTGTGTGTGTAGGGGGCTAACGATCCCACTGAAAAGGTAGTGCTATATGCGGTATCTTGTTATGGGTCAGTGGGGGGGAGGGGAGATAAGGGCATTTGGGGAGATTCGCAGTCGTAACTGTGAAGGGTGCCTGTCAGGCATTGTTAAAGCACCTTCACCTGCTCGGAGCTATAGGTCATAATAACCAGAAACATAAAGCAAAAACTGTTAAGTCCTGTGCGGTTTGAAACATAAAGCAAAAACTGTTAAGAAACATAAAGCAAAAACTGTGAAGTCCTGTGCGGTTTGTAACCCGCTGGGAGGTCTTCGCGTCTTCAGCGCACCGGCTTAGTTGCAGGACTCCCTCTGTGGGCCGCTGGTATGAATGGCGTGACCCTCTCTGGGTCCCAGGATGTCGGTGTCGTTTGGGTTGCGGTCTCAGCGGCTGTCGCGGTCACTCCCATTTGGAGCAGGATGATCGGTATTTCAGAGGCCTCCCGGACTTTCACCATTCCCGTTTCCCGGGTAATGAGTAGGCAGCGAGGTGAACCCCATTTGTATGGTGTTTTGCTTGCCGCTAGTGCCTGAGTGAGTGGACGCAGAGATCTTCGCCATTCCATGGTGGCCTTAGATAAGTCCGGGTAGAAGGAGAGATCGTGATCCTCAAATCGTAATGGTGTTATGTGGCGGACTGCCGCCATAAAGGCTGTGCGGTCTTGCCCCTGTTGGAACCGGAGGATTATGTCTCTGGTTGGTCGTTGTATTCCTGTAGCGGGTCCCGTTATACAGTGCCATCCGGCTAGTGTCATAGCCTTGGCTTGTTTGGCGGAGAAAAGCTTAGTAAGCAGTCTGTGGATGAAGTGTGGGAACTCTGCCATCTCCATGGTATCGGGTAGGCCGTGGACCTTGACATTCTTCCATCTCCGCTTGTCCTCGAGAGCTGCCATGTGTTCCTTGGAGCGTGTTTGTGAGTGATGCAGTTTGGTCAACGACTGCTCCAGGGTCGCGATGCGGGTCTCGTGCGCTTCTGTTGTGCGCTCTGAGTTGCGGAGACGGGCTGCGAACCCGTTCACCTCCTCCCTGAACTGTCCTATGTTGGCTGCAATGTTGCCGCGAAGTTCAGCCAGCATGCCCCGCAGGGATTCCTCTGTGACCGGGGGCTTGGCCGGTATTGTCTGCGGTGATTGCTGCACCTTGTTGGGGAGCTGGGCCTCAAAGGGCGTCCCTCCGTACAGGGATTCTTCACTAGTAGTGCGTGATGGGGCATCCGATAGCGGCGCCATGACAGGCCTCTGTGAGGAGTGTGGCCTCCACAGCAAATCGACGATATCGGCCGTGGATGGAGGTCGATCTGGCTTGCATTTCTTATTTTTACGTCCCATGGTATGTGGGAAGTCTCCGGCTGTGGAGGGTTCTGCTTTTTAGTTGTTATTTGTGTTTGTTTTTGCCTTTTTGGTGCCGTTTTGCTCGGAGCTGCAGTAATGTGCGTCTTGCTAGTATGGCTGTTCCAGGGTTTGATGTTTTTGTTAAGATTCACTGCAAAAATCTCAAGATGTACAAGCCATATAGAATTATCATACAAACTTCTTACAAGATGGTACGTAACCCCTGTCCGATTACAGCATATGTGTCTCAATTGCTGTTGGTGAGAATGTGGTGAGATTGGCTCACTGTCCCATACATGGTGCGATTGCCAAACAATTTTCAGGTGTGGAGGAAAATATGTAATCTTATTGAATCAAGCCTTCAGGTCTGCATTTCCTTTTCCTTAGAGGTAGCACTGTTAAATAACTACCCAACAACAATTCCCTTACAAACTAAAAGATTGATATCCTTTTTCTTTTGACTGTTGAGACTGTTAAGACCATTATTGCTAAAAACTGGAAGAGCACTGTAGTTCCTTCAATGCAAGGTTTACTAAAAATGCTTTATAATATATGTCAAATGGAATATATGGCCTATTCGGCTATTAATTCTGGAAAATGTGCAGTCCTATATTAGAGGAAAGAGTAAAAGAAGAATAAAACCAAGAATAATTTTGGGTAATGACATAGAGGCAGGTATTATCACCTAGGGCAGTGATGCCAAACCTTTTTGAGCCTGAGTGCCCAAACCGCAATACATGCCAACTTTTCTTTCCTCAAAGTGCCAACTTGGCAATTAAACCTGAATACTGAGGTTTAAGTTTAGAAAAAACAACTCGTACTGTTGTCCGAACTAATTAACATCTATTGTTTTAAAAGAAGAACACAACAACAGAGAGTTCAATGATACAAATTTTAAATAATGATATAAATAGATAAAATTAAGCTTATATTTATTAGTATCTCCAACAAATGCAATACATACACACAGACTGCTGAATACAGTCACAGACTGCTGAACACATTCACACACCGACTGCTGAATACACACACTGACTGCTGAATACACACACTGACTGCTGAATACACACACCGACTGCTGAATACACACACTGACTGCTGAATACACACACCGACTGCTGAATACACACACAGACAGCTAAATATACACATACAGTCTGCTGAATACATACACACAGTCCACTGAATACATGCACACAGTCCGTTGAGTGCATGCACACAGTCCGCTGAGTACACACACACACACACACAAAAATACACACAGACTGCTGAATAAGTACACACAGGCTGCTGAATACACACAGGCTGCTAAATACAAACACTGCTGAATACACACACACAAACTGTTGTGTGTGACCTTTTATGGACAGATTTCTAGACAATGTTTTGTATTGGCCCCTAATATATTTGTATTATGCTATCATATTACCTCTGAGGCACAATTTTTCCAAACTAAAGAGTTAAATTTGTTAACCTTTCTTCATTACTAAAATGCTCCATTCCTTTTATCAATTTGGTAGCCTGTCTCTGCACTTTTAGTGCCATAATATCCTTCTTTAGTACAGTTGCACAGCATATTCAAGGTGTTGTCTTAACATTGATTTATAAAGTGGCAAAATGATATTCTCATCCAGATAATACTACTACTTATACATGACAATACCTTACTGACCTTAGCAGCTGTAGACCTGACATGTTGACATTGCATTTTGTTGCCTAGTTTACTGTCTATAACAGTCCCCAAATCCTTCTCATGTGTTGTTATCCCTAATACACTACCATTAAGGTATAAAGCCTAGCGCACGTTTCGACGCTGCTAAAGCACCTTGTCAAAGGCAATAACCAGGTGTACTGACCTGCGCAGCTATTTGTACGGTAAGGTGCACTACCGTGGACCAATCGGGTGCAGTGGGAGTTCACGGTAGTGCACCTTACCGTACAAATAGCTGTACAGGTCAGTACACCTGGTTCTTGCCTTTGACAAGGCGCTTTAGCAGCTTTGAAACGTGCGTTAGGCTTTATGGTTCTTTTTTTATTTTAAAATTTCACGACACTATTTTTTGTTTACACTGGGTTTTGAGTGATGGCTAGGAGATTTGTTGTAGCATATTTATAGGAATGGCTATAGGAATGGCTATTGAAGTTGAGGAAACTGTAGGGTTCTTTTACAGGCTAACTATTAAGGGTTGCTGATATTTTTATTAGGAAGTGTGGAGCGACAGTCAGTTAGAATCTATGACTACTATAAGCTCACTACATAGCACTATAATTAGCTCTCTATATTAACCACAGTATACCTATAGGTGGCTTGTATGCTTTTATTACCTATAGAACTTTGCAGCTACACATTAGGTGAAGACAAATATATATATCTTTTTACATTCAGTCAATTATCTGGATTGTTTTGTGCTTTTCACTAAGTATTGCATTACTATTCTTAAGTTTACTTTAGTGTATCTATGGGTGCTTTGCAGGCTCGGTTTGCATGCAGATTGTCACCTACCAAGTAAGGATACTCCTGTTTATTCAATAGGAGACTTAGTGCTTGGGGTTTAGAGCTAGCTGTAATCATTCACTAGACTGTATTATTGCTCATTATTTAGCAACCATCTAACACCTGTGAACCCATAACCCCATTTTGGCTACAGGCCTCAACAATTTTGACGTGTTGGGACTTATTTAGGTTAATAATTATTTTTTCTGTGCTACTTATGTTCTATAATAATAAAATGTGGTTTTAATCTATTGTATATGTGTTTGCATACCCAGAGGACTTTTGCTGTGCTCCACTGACTTTATGTCCTTGGATCACTTTAGTGATTTTTTTAATCTGCAAGCAGGCCCGGACTGGGCAAATGCTTGTGGGCCGAGATGGCCATGGGCCGAGGCAGACAGGGGAAATCACAGGGCCTCCCCAGGAGTTCACCTCACCACTACGACCACCAGGGATTCAAGGATTAACCTCCATGTCCCCCCTCCGAGGCAAAGGTAAGAAGGGAGGGGGGAAATAAAGTATAGATTTTTTTTTAAATAAAAAAGAAATAAAATATATATTTATGTATTACTTTAATTGCCCCCCCACTGCACACCACACACACTAACTTCACACACACCCTTCACACACATCCACACACTGTACCCCTCACACACACACACACACACACTGCCACACTGCATCCCTCACATACACACACTGCATCCTTCACACACACACACACTGCACCTTTCACACACACTGTACTTTTTACACATACACATACACACTACACTTTTCCCACACACACTGAAGTCTTCACACAAACACACACACACACCCTGCACCCCTCACACACACACTGCACCCATCAAACATTACATTCTAGACACACACACTAGATCCTTTATACAACTCTGGATCCACTATACACACACACACTAAATCTCTTTTACACACTCTGGGTCCTTAACACACACACTAGATCTACTACACACAATATATTCGTGGCATACACATTATGAATCCCCTATGCCTACACTAGATCCCCTGTAAGCAAACACACATTACATTCCCTAAACACACACTTTACATCCCAGACACTACATCCCACACACTAAATCATCTATAAGCATATGCACTACAGCTCCTATGCACACACTCGCTACATCCCCTATACACACATACTCTCTCAGTCTACAGCCCTAGCCATACATATTACACCAGAAACATAACACAACTTGAACCGACATTTAAACAAACTATCACACCACAATCAGAGCACTTTACACACACACAATCCTACAAGCAGGCTCCAAACACATGCACAATACTCTTTCCTGGCCCTTTTGTCCTCTGGTATCCCACATATGGAGACACCAGAGACAAGTCACAAGCAAACACAGCGCAAGCATTTTAGTAAATTTGCTTGTGCTGTGTAGAACAAATACAGGGCCTTTTTCTCATGCAAGAGCACTTCAGCAAGGCTCAGTGTATGGACTTCCCTCGAAGAGTATTGAACCAACATGCTCACTTTGAGAGGGGGCATGCTTGTCATTGGCGATGACAAAAGACCCCCCTATCTGGCACTGCCCCCTTCTCAGTTGTCCGCTGTGATTCAAAAATGCCTGGACGAATTTCTTTCCCATTCCAGCCCTGTCTGCAAACACTAAAACATGTCTTTTAATGCCTATTTCAAGATCAATTATAAATATGTTAAACAGATACGGACCCAGAACAGAACCCTGAGGTACTCTACTTACCATAATTCTGAAATTTCGTGTTGGTCCTTCCCACATGTGACATGAACAGGTAGCATCAGTGTTTTTAAGTAAATATCCCCCCTGTTTCTTAAACCTATTACAGACCTTACTTATATGTATTTTTCTTCCGTGCACCAGGCTCTTTAGAAAAACAAATGGGGCACTAGGCTTCCTTGATTATGTTATTCTATTCTTATTAGACATAAAATTAGTGGGGGAATAGGAGTGCCCTATATGCAGAATTAATATTGAGCCTCCCTCCTCCTTGTAAAGTAGAGCAGATTCCCTCTCATAAACCATAGGTGACCTTGGAACAACTTTGGGTTTCCGGAATCCTGGCAGCCTGCTATGGCTCCGACCTAACTTGGTGATAGCTTCTACATGCCGCACATCACAATTTCTCCATCTATAGCTTGTTGGAAAATATGTCATTCTTCCCCACATTTTAGATCTAGACCTTTAGCTTTGCTTTCTCGTTTGGCTCTCCCAGCACACTCAGAACCTCTCACCTATCAGAGGCTTGGTCTTACAAAAATCCCACCTATTTTCAGTTTTGCAATATGTTACTTCTCAGGCAGACTTAATCGACTGTGAGTATTTGATGATGAACTTGTAGCCTCAGCACTTCACTTCCATTAGTTCCACCTTAGCCTTGCTATCCATGAGCTGTTTTCATGCCACTCAGATGACTTTTCAGTATCACCCTCTGAATCTTTCTCCTATTTTCCTGGCAATTTCTCTCAAGGCATCTCTAAAATACATGCTCTCCTTTTTCTTACCTCTTCTTTCTCCTTTCATTCCTTTCTGTTCCAAGCCAAACAGGAGGAGGAACTAAATATCTCATTGTTTGATGAACAGTGGACCAAAATATGTTCGCTTATACATTTATGCACCATTCGTCATCAATATGTCTTACAAGCTACTGACATACTGGTATAAAACTTGATCAGTACTGAAAGACATTTTCCTATATAGTGATGCTTATTGCCTTACTTGTAGGTTGCACCCTGGCATGTGCTCTCAAATCTGGTGGTGTTGGCCCTTGACAGTACCTTTTTTTGCAGGGAAGTCTACAACTCTCTCGTTCTGAATGTTGACTCTCCACCTCTGTTCACATTAGAGGCATTGCTATTACACCACACTCTCACTCTAAATATAGGAACTCTCTGCTGTTGCAACTTCTTAAAGCAGCTTAAATACTTATTACTGCCATTACCATTACCTTATCTTCTCACCAGGAGTGGCTGACTCACAGATTTATTCCCAAAAGGAGTTGATACCTAGGTCTAGGAGATGGAGGCCTCACATGACATCAGATGGCACCTTTGACAAGATGTCCTCTAAGATGGGTTGCCCACCCTGAAGTTATTTACATTGCATGGAGAAAATTGACTCTACTTAGATCAAATTTGTACTTTTGAGCTTGAACAATACCGTGTCTGCTTCTTACAATTGACCAGTAATTGACTACTTCCCTTTTTTCATATTAAATATCATGCAGTTGTACTACTTTTCTCTGCCCCATTCCACCCTTCTTCCCCTCCTAATCCCCTCCCCCACTGATCATTTTTCCCATCTCTTCACCCCTCAGTACCTAATGAATAGAAAAATGTAGGATCATGTGGTTTTTGAGTATGAATTTGACAAAATTGTACAATTTGCTGTACTGCCTTGCTTGTTTTACTCCATGCACCTTAATGAAGATTAAAAAAAAGAAACTATATGAAGTTAATACCTGCATGTGTTCTCCATTATGGTATATTTTATATGTGTTATCTTTTATATAATACATGTCTTCAATAAAATATATTCAAATATGTTTATAAAAGTACATAGTAAACAATTAGAAACTAAATTGAACAAAATGACTAAACCATAAACATTCTACATGTGGCAAAAATTAGAAACCTTAGCAGTAATAGTCTCCGTTATCCTCGTTAATACATGTATCAGTTTCTTCTTTAATAGATTCCTGTTATAATGTCTCTGTAATAATGTCTCTCTTACTTACTCTGTATGGTTATTGGTTATATGAGACACTTGAGGCAGCAGAAAAGGTGTCGTGTAAGGACATACTTATGGTGCATTTCTGACTAGGGAGTTTATTAGGTCCAGAGGGCAGCTGTAAATCAGTCCATCTCCACTCTGGTTTCCTCAAATGCATAGGGAGATGCTACAGTGTTAAATAATTTTGGAGAAAAGACCTGGGAATTGCAAATTTGTGGGCAGAAATAGCGGTTTAAAAAAAAAAAAATATCCAAGATTGACAATTTTTCCAGCTTAACTATTTTGAAACTGAACCCAATTAACCTTTACCCGTGTGAGTCGGTAAGCCAACATTCCACTTCTTCTGATACGGCATTGCATTAGATAAACAAAATGCATGCCTTGACCTACTGAGCTCCTGTCATTCCATATCCTAACTTGGCAACTTCACAGTGCAACCACTTCAAATAGCAAAGTGCCATTATCTTATACATAGAAATATGTTCATTGTTCACAACACAACCACTCCAAAAAGCATGGGACAAAGTAGTTCTTCTGACATTCTTTCATCTTACACATGGGGATTTATTCACTAAGCAGAGGCTGTAATATCTCAAGAAACTAATGTCTAAAATGCCAGAAAAATGTTAGAAAAAAATTATCTTCAAATCCTTTTACAGTTTTATCTCACTCTAGTATTTTAACTTCTATTTTACGAGCCTGTTCTCAACTCTCAATATCTCTTTGTTTAACGACCCATAAACAGCATGAATATAGAATGTAGAAAGCAAACATTTCACAACTAAAGTTCTTTTACACAGGAGAATATTTCCTGAACTGTATTATGAATAAATGTAATCTTTTCTCGTTAATCTACACCCCTATAAAGAGAAGCCTATTTTAAAAAGCAAAAAAAAAACAACAAAAAACAACAAAAAACAAAAAACATTAAATTATACAGTAATAAAAAATTACATATGTATTATCACCTCAGAAGATAATTAATGACAAGAAATACAAACTATTTTTTTCACAGTCAAATACATGAGCTTTACAGCAATCACATCTACAATAATGTACCTTTCCAACAAAGTAAATATGTTTAGAAATTAGCATGTCAGTAATATATTTTGATCGATTTCAGTTAAATGCTTCAGTAGTTCATGTAATCATCTAAAATGTCCCGAAGTAGCCCTGCCTCCTGTCCATGTTGGATTGATCTTTATACTTTTAAAAAGTCCTTTATGAATTGAAGACATCATCTGTGGATTTAGTCATTCTCCAATTACATTACCATTTATATCTGTACACACTAGTCCATTTATGATAATGGAAAGTTTGGTTTATTACATTTTCTTACAGAGGAATTAAGCATTAAGCATACATATATATATATATATATATATATATATATAATTTATTTATTTATTTTTTGCAGGAATTCACATCTCACAGCTGGAACCAAAATTTGCGCAAGAACCCTCCAAGCAGACCATTTTATGATTAGTGTTTTTATTACACAAATGTTATAGAACCATATACCCAATGAGCTGGCCTTACACTCATAATGATGACTCCATATTCAGCACCAGATTAATGAAGGATCAATTGGAACCAAATCTCCAGGCCTACACATTGCAACAAGCCCTAGAAGCTGCCTAGATTTTTGGTGATCTACTGATGTGCAGTGGCATATTCATAACATGTCACCATGGTCACTGGAGGTAGTTTTCACATTGTATATACAAATCTGTAAGTGACATTTGAGGGCCTACCACTGCTCCTTGCCCACTACAACAAAGAGGACAGAAGGCATAAGCCACTTGTACTCATTTCTCTACTAGAAGATTTCCCAATTTCCCTGTGCCTCAGTCTGCTTCTGAAGATGGATTTTATACTCTGAAATGTATTTTGTTTATATGTACATGGAGATGGGTTTATATATATATATATATATATATATATATATATACAGTATCTCACAAAAGTGAGTGCCCACTCACATTTTTGGAAATATTTTATTATCTTTTCATGTGACAACACTTAAGAAATGACACACTATTACAAAGTAGTAAGTGTATAGCCTGTATAACAGTGTAAATTTGCTGCCCCCTCAAAATAACTCAACAAACCGTCATTATTGTCTAAACCTTTGGCAACAAAAGTGAGTACACCCCAAAGTGGAAATGTCCAAATGGGCCCAATTAGCCACTTTCCCTCCCCGGTGTCATCTGACTCATTAGGGTTATAAGGTCTCAGGTGTGAATGGGGCGCAGGTGTATTAAATTTGGTGTTATGGCTCTCACCCTCTCTCATACTGGTCACTGGAAGTTCCACATGGTACCTCATGGCAAAGAACTCACTGAGGATCTGAAAAAAAAATTGTTGCTCTACATAAAGATGGGCTAGGCTACAAGAAGATTGCCAAGACCCTGAAACTCAACTACAGCATGGTGAACAAGACCATACAGCGGATTCACAAGACAGGTTCCACTCAGAACAGGCCTCGCCATGGTCGACCAAAGAAGTTGAGAGCATGTGGGAAATAGACGTATGAGTGCTGCCAGCATTGTTACAGAGGTTACAGAGGTGGAGGTCAGCCTGTCAGTGCTCAGACCATACGCCGCACACTAAAGCAAATTGGTCTGCATGGCTGTCGTCCCAGAAGGAAGCCTCTTCTAAAGATGATGCACACGAAAGCCCACAAACAGTTTGCTGAAGACAAGCAGACTAAGGACATGGATTACTGGAACCATGTCCTGTGGTCTGATGAGACCAAGATAAACTTATTTGGTTCAGATGGTGTCAAGCGTGTGTGGCAGCAGCCAGGTGAGGAGTACAAAGACAAGTGTGTCTTGCCTACAGTCAAGCATGATGGTGGGAGTGTCATGTTCTGGGCCTGCATGAGTGCTGCCGGCACTGAGGAGCTACAGTTCATTAAGGGAACCATGAATGCCAACATGTACTGAAGCACAGCATAATTCCCTCCCTTCGGAGACTGGGCTGCAGGGCAGTATTCCAACATGATAATGACCCCAAACACACCTCGAAAACGACCACTGCCTTGCTAAAGAAGCTGGAGGTAAAAGTGATGGACTGGCCAGGCATGTCTCCAGACCTAAACTCTATTGAACATCTGTGGGGCATCCTTAAATGGAAGGTGGGGGAGCGCAAGGACTCTAACATCCACCAGCTCAGTGATGTCGTCATGGAGGAGTGGAAGAGGACTCCAGTGGCAACCTGTGAAGCTCTGGTGAATGCCATGCCATGAGGGTTAAGGCAGTGCTGGAAAATAATGGTGGCCACACAAAATATTGACACTTTGGGCCCCATTTGGACATTTACACTTAGGGGTGTACTCACTTTTGTTGCCAACGGTTTAGACATTAATGGCTGTGTGTTGAGTTATTTTGAGTGGATAGCACATTTACACTGTTATACAGGCTGTACACTTACTACTTTACATTGTAGCAGAGTGTCCCATGAAAAGATATAATAATATATTTACAAAAATGTGAGGGGTGTACTCACTTTTGTGAGGTACTGTATATCTGCAGAGTGTAGTTGCTGACAGGTGAGGTCAGGTTCACAATGCTCTACGCATAAGAAACCAGAATCCAAATACATACTTCAAAACTTTAAGTTATATGCTGCACACTGGGTCTGTTGATCAACATTCAACAGCTTTGAGATTGCTTGATAAGTCCATTTGAGAAAACAAAAACCTAGCATTAGGATTGTTGCAAAATGCCTTTTGTAACTGTTCCTTTAAATGACAAATTGCCCGGCTTCCCTGGATTATGGAGGAGCCTATTTGCCAGCCTCCTCCCCCATGACTATGGACCGGGTGTGTATGACCCTTTAAGAACAGTCTGTGAGCATATTGGGGCTTATGGACTTTTTATGGGACTGGTGCTGGCCCTTTAAGCACATTTTTGGGACATAGAGAAAATTGGGACAATGCCCCTTTAAGCCTGTGTCCCCAGTGTCCCCAGACTTGGTTAAAACCCTTTGTTCCTGGCTATTTCCCACTTGGTTCAGTAAACTGAACCAAGTACCACACAGGCGGACCACCCAGAAGTGGAAGTGTGCAGGCAATTTACCTCCCAGGCTGGGAGCCTACAGTAGGTCAATTGCCGAACTCTGGGAGGCTGCCGTTTGCGCAAATGAACACGTGGCGGTGCCATCTTTATTCATTCCAATACGGTCAGCGGTGTGTGCAGCCAAATTCATGGAACTAAAATCAGCTAAAAAGTCCCATACTGAACTTTCAGCCACAGAGACTAAGTCCCATTCGGCAATGGGACTTAGTCATTTTTTCAGCCTGAAATAGACCGATCGCACAGCCCAGATCTATGGAACTGTTTTGGGCAGGAAAATGTGCTTGCGGTCGGTAATAAAGGACTTCCATCTAACTTTTTATCTGCTGGATGGATTTGTCTGATTTTTGAGAGTGTTTATATTTAAAGTGTGCTGATTCTGAATATGAATTTATGAAGATTGGATGTATGGTTTTAAAATTATAGTACATGTATAAAAACTGTATTTTTCTTGCCTGTGATAATTATGTGAAGCATTGTGTACCATAATTATATCACAGGCAGAGGGGGAGGATTTTGTGTGTAATTGCTGGGAGTGTTTTCTGTAATGTACGTGTGTTATTGGTTGCTCTGTAAAACCCTGTGGGTGGTCCTATGTAAGGAAAAACGGCATAAAAGAAGGCCCTTTGGTGCCAATAAAACAGATCTTCTTGACCCTCAACACGTAGTCTTGTCTCATGATTGAAGGGGACAGCTATACTCACACTGGGGATTGCTATGCTCTACATACTCCCCTGAGCTTTAATCACTTAGCTCTTTTAAGAGCTTGTTCCTGATACGCTCTCCTGGAGGAGAGGTCTTTCCCACACGGTCCTGGAGGACGGAAGCTGATCCAGGGAGGAAGGAAGACGGTGAGACTCCAGTTAAGCTACGGCGGTTGTGGAGTCTGCGGTGCTTGTGGTCCTCGGCGCAAGCTAGGAAGTGTCCATTAACGGAAGGTTCCGTTACAAGGATTAACAAGTGTTTTAGCATTATTGTGCCAGTTATTATCTACTGTACATCAGCAAGTGATTTGGCCTTTTTTTGAGAACCATCAGTTACTTGGTAGATGAACTACAATGGGATTCCCGCCCATATGTTCCCATAGAAACCACAATCCCCCACACATACACCAATGAGGTAGAGGGCTGCGCTGGGACACAGTGGGGCCTGGCTATGAGGGCACTCCATTTAAACTCAGTACAACTAAGTTATGAAAACTCAGATGTCCTGTGCACTGGCTTGTGAACACTTGGTTCTATATTATATATCTGTTACAAGTTATCTGAACTTGACCTGGCTTATCATTCAAGAACCATTGCTGCCTGGATTTTGTACGTTTTTTGGAATGTCTGACTACATTCCCTGGATTGCCTTGTCTTAGCGACCTACTGCCCCTTGGGTTCCCACCTACCATTCCACTAACACCCTGATTTTGGATTATGGGAGGACAGACTAGGTTTGGTGTACTCATATTCCAAATGAAGATTGTTCCCTTAAATGTGGGACACTTGAGATGTCCAATTTAAATGTAAAAAACGTTGCTACGATGTATATCTATCAAATATTTTATGTCAGGAGGTATCTGGTATCAAGGGCGCCTTTTCTTCACTTTACTGGAAAACTATCAACTTTTCACACTTTGATCACTATAAAGAGACTTGTTCTCCATGTTTTTTTCAATCTCGTATACTACAAAAATGAGTTGTAATGCCATTATTTGTTATCTGTTTTAGTTTTTCAATGTGAAGGTACGATACTGTACAGTAGATGTTTGCAATAAAAATTAGAATTTAAAAAATGTAAAAATATCTCACCAACAATTTCACGAATCTGAACAAAGTTTTCCAACTGGACAGGGGGACTCACTCCAGCTTTGCTACTTGCTGTAACACGAGGCAGTATCTTTTCACCGGTAGTCAGGTCTGTAATTTTGTAGCGAGTGGAGACACTGGGTTCTTTGTTCACACTTATCCATTCCTCACCTAAACCAAGAACAAACAGTGTATCTTAGTGATTAGTTTACAGTGATCACATATTATATTTGCTTGGGTTTGCACTCTTCTTATTGGTTTCATTATGTGATTTTCTTTTGTTTACTGACTTATTATTTCAAATAGACAAATCATATCTATTACAATTTAGATTAGGTAGTGTTTTTAGAATAGGGTTGTTTGGCTAAGGAGACAGATATGTAGTTCCACATTTTGCTAGACATTTTTTTGGGGGGGTAGAAAGTAAAACTACAACAATTTAAGTATGCAAATAATACAGCATATTATTGAGGCCAAAACACATCAAATTGATTAATGGATCACTATAGAGTCAGGAACACAAACATGTATTCCTCACCTTATAGTGTTAAAACCACCATCTAGCCCCCCTGGGCCCCGCATGCATCCATAAATATAGCAAAATCTTACTGTATTTAAGCCTGAAACTGTAACTCTGCATGCTGTTTGTCTCAGAAAAACAAGCAGTCTGCTGACATCCGCAGAAGTGGTAGCCTTATCCAATCACAATGCTTCACCACAGGATTGGCTGAGACTGACAAAGAGGCAGATCAGAGGCAGAGCCAGCACAATTCATGCACAGCCCTGGCCAATCAGCATCTCCTCATAGAGATGAATTGGATCAATGAATCTCTATGAGGAAAGTTCTGTGTCTGCATGCAGAGGGTGGAGACACTGAATGTTTGGATGCGTTGTAGGCAGCCATGACCCAGGAAGGATCTCTAACAGCCATCTGAGGAGTGGCCAGTGAAGTTATCACTAGGCTGTAATGTAAACACTGCATTTTCTCTGAAAAGACAGTGTTTACAGCAAAAAGCCTGAAGGTAATGATTCTACTCACCAGAACAAATTCAATCAGCTGTAGTTGTTCTGGTGACTATAGTGTCCCTTTAATTTTGTGTTTGTCACCAGAGTATCATTATAACACAAGTATATTAATCATTGGAGGAAAGGGTTTAAAGGCAGAGCAAATAAAGACTATGCAAAGGTTTTCCTAGTGTCCAAATGACTGAACTTTGCAATTAAAGGACCACTATAGTGCCAGGAAAACATACTCGTTTTCCTGGCACTATAGTGCCCTGAGGGTGCCCCCACCCTCAGGGACCCCCTCCCGCCCGGCTCTGGAAGGGGGAAAGGGTTAAAAACTTACCTTTTTCCAGCGCTGGGCGGGGAGCTCTCCTCCTTCTCTCCTCCTCCGTTCCTCCTCCGTTCCTCCTCCTGGGCTGAATGCGCACACGCGGCAAGAGCTGCGCGCGCATTCAGCCCGTCGCATAGGAAAGCATTTACAATGCATTCCTATGGACGCTTGCGTGCTCTCACTGTGAAAATCACAGTGAGAAGCACGCAAGCGCCTCTAGTGGCTGTCAATGAGACAGCCACTAGAGGATTAGGGGGAAGGCTTAACCCATTCATAAACGTAGCAGTTTCTCTGATTTTATACACATGTGGCAATGGGTTTGATTGAAAATCACAGTGAGAAGCACCCAACGCCTCTAGTGGCTGTCAATGAGACAGCCACTAGAGGATTAGGGGGAAGGCTTAACCCATTAATAAACATAGCAGTTTCTCTGAAACTGCTATGTTTATAAAAAAATGGGTTAACCCTAGAAGGACCTGGCACCCAGACCACTTCATTAAGCTGAAGTGGTCTGGGTGCCTAGAGTGGTCCTTTAAGCTTTAATTTGTTGTTTAATGCTATATCTTGTATGTCTGTGCTTACACTAGCTGCAAATGTAGAACCTATACCGGTATATGGACCAGACATCTAGAGAAAGCCAAGCTAATAAATGTTAAATTCTTGCAATCTAAAAATAAGGGAAAAGTACACAATGATAAAGTTATAGGATATCGTTATGGCAACAGAAATTGACTACATAGGTACTTATATTTGAAACAGTTTGGTCGCTGACCAATGTGTGGCAGGCATATGCCAGTAGCCTTGAATACTGAATAAAACATGTCCAAACAGACCAGTTTGAGGAAATACATGTCTGCCTTGTGTCCATGTCTGTCAATTTTCATTTTGAAAGGACAAACAACACAGTTAGGTTTAAAGGAACACTATAGGGTCAGGAACAGTCGACTGTGTGCAGAAATCACATTATTTGAAAGAAATTAGTGGAAAGCACTGGGATATAATGTCAGTGATCAGTGATCGTGTGAAAGTTCTAAGAGGAGGTATAGAATTGAAAATTAAATAAGAATGGGTATTTGCCATCAAACACAAACATTGGTGAGCAATGCTTATATGGAATTGTGTATATGTTGAATCAGTCACAAACACCCATTGACACATGCTTCCTAACATCTTCATCATTCTCAGAATGCCAGGGCACCCTCCCTACCAAATGTTTACTATCAAAGAGTATATTATCAAAATGTTTGTTTAGTGGGTGCTTGAAGGACATGTTCACTTTACCTATACTTTATAATGGACTAATCCCGCTACACTAAAACAACCAGAAAAAAGATCCTCCAATTCTACAATTATGCCAACTGGATCCATTAAGTACTGTAGACAGACAAGAAAACTGCAAAATTCCCATTATTCCCTTAATGCATTCCCTTACATTTAAGCCTAATTTATTAAGAGGCACAGCTACACTATTTCTTTGTATTAACTTGTTGTGTTAAAGTACATGTTACTTTGACGTCTTCTTTGACTAAGAGCTAGGACTACTCATACTGTATTACAGTTTTTTCAGGGTCTGGCTTTCCTGTGATGGTTATGAAGAATCCTCTTATGGTCGATGATGGGCGTATGATGTTTCAATTAGTGGTGACAGGACAGAATGAAAGTCATATTGTAATTAGTCTGCTGTCTCACAAACCATCATCACTCTGCATTTAAAGGGCACTTCTTGGAAAAATCAGCAAACAGACTAGATGATCTTCACATTGATGTCAGATGCCACATGTGTGCTAATTAAATGAAATAGTTTCCTGCTCCAGAACTGGCAGTTCATGGAAAGAGGTGGATCATCTGTATGTCGGCTTCACAGACCATGTGTGTGTTTATCATGAAATTCATGCAACCAATTCCTTACCCTCTACTAAGGGCCTTCTTTCTCTTTCTGTGAGAACACAACCCGTCTAATTCCCAGTGGAACTGGACATTAACGTTCCTTTGAACTAGAGGCCTAAAAATGGAAGTGCAGCTTTATCTGTAACACATATCTCAGCACTACACAATAGGCAATTAGTGCTGTGGGTTTCGCTTACCATCTCAGTCAGCTCAAATGTAATCAGCTATTACAAACATCACTTAGGACCTATCATTCACTTCTCATTCCTTAAACACCATATGATTAATTACAAAACAAGTAATTGCTGGTTTGTGCATAGAGGTGTTCGCTAAATGTTTTTAAATATGCTTAAAGGGACACTCTGGGCACCAATACTACTTAAAGGACCACTATAGTGCCAGGAAAACATACTCGTTTTCCTGGCACTATAGTGCCCTGAGGGTGCCCCCACCCTCAGGGACCCCCTCCCGCCCGGCTCTGGAAGGGGAAAGGGTTAAAAACTTACCTTTTTCCAGCGCTGGGTGGGGAGCTCTCCTCCTTCTCTCCTCCTCCGTTCCTCCTCCTGGGCTGAATGCGCACGCGCGGCAAGAGCTGCGCGCGCATTCAGCCCGTCGCATAGGAAAGCATTTACAATGCATTCCTATGGACGCTTGCGTGCTCTCACTGTGAAAATCACAGTGAGAAGCACGCAAGCGCCTCTAGTGGCTGTCAATGAGACAGCCACTAGAGGATTAGGGGGAAGGCTTAACCCATTCATAAACATAGCAGTTTCTCTGATTTTATACACATGTGGCAATGGGTTTGATTGAAAGACCTGAGTTTGATAATTAAGAGGTGTGTCTGAATACTTTTGTCCATATTGTGCATATTAGGTTTTGCGTGGCTGTGCGAAATGCAACAGGATGTCACAGCATTGAGAAATGCAGGCATATATATGATAATGGAGTAAGAATACATGGGTGTAACCTACACTCATAGTATGAAAAATTGATGGGTCTCTGGGTAGAGAGTAGTGAATTTGTCATTCCTGTCTTTGGAGATGAATAGTATTAAATATGCCTGAAAGAAATGGGCGGAGAGCTCTTCTCCTCCGATCCTCCTCTTCTCCTCCTCCTGGGCTGAATGCGCACGCGCGGCAAGAGCTTACCTTTTTCCAGCGCTGGGCGGGGAGCTCTCCTCCTTCTCTCCTCCTCCGTTCCTCCTCCTGGGCTGAATGCGCACGCGCGGCAAGAGCTGCGCGCGCATTCAGCCCGTCGCATAGGAAAGCATTTACAATGCTTTCCAATGGACGCTTGCGTGCTCTCACTGTGAAAATCACAGTGAGAAGCACGCAAGCGCCTCTAGTGGCTGTCAATGAGACGGCCACTAGAGGCTTTGGGGGAAGGCTTAACCCATTCATAAACATAGCAGTTTCTCTGAAACTGCTATGTTTATAAAAAAATGGGTTAACCCTAGAAGGACCTGGCACCCAGACCACTTCATTAAGCTGAAGTGGTCTGGGTGCCTAGAGTGGTCCTTTAAATGCTTTTGGTCTTATTAATATGCAGAATTTTTGCATGCTCAAATATTTATAGTTTTTGTATTACATAAATCAATGCTTTACAGAATTAATGCTGCACCATAAGACTACCTCTTTAACCACACCACCTCATCCCAGAAAAATACTTTCTTATAAAATGTATGAAAACAACCTGCATTAGAAGGAGAGGTCACCCAGGGAGGCATATAGTAAGGATATCACTACCTGTCTATAGTTTCTTTGACTGTAAGCAGACAGGTTTTCAATTAAAGCAGCTCACTCAGTACTGTTGGGGCTAAGACTGTGTGCATACTTTTGATAAGGAAGTCTTCCTGGAATGAGGGGTGTGGCTAAGGAGGCAGGCTTATAGTGCAGAATTCTGCCAAACATTTATTTTTTTGTGCAAAAACTATAAAGATTTGAGCATGCAAAAAAATACAGCATAGTGATGAGGCCAAAATCTATCAAATGCATTAAAGTTGTAGTATTGCCCAGAGTATCCCTTTAACACTTACCCTGTACAGTAAAATGAATTGTGCAAAGAAGAACACATTGTCAAAAACAAAGTCAGATATTGGTTTATATTTGTAATGTATGAATGTTTTATTTTGAAGTTACCCAGGGATTTCCTATCCAACAGTTTCCGTCTCAGTCATAGCTATCACCTGTGTTTGAGTATTTCTATATTGTTTATAAAAATCAATAGTGGCAAGGTTTGTTTCTATAATTCAAAAATTATATTAAATGTATATAACACATGCCTTCCAAACTTTAGCTACACCATCACAGAATGGGCTATGGTATAACCATAGCAGTAGAGCATTCATGCTGAGTTGAGGCACATGTTGCCATCCAGACCATCAAGCAGTGAGTTCTGTTACCTCATGCCATTTTCCTTTTTACCCCTCTTCCCCATGTCATCGTGCCCCATCCCTTCCCTTCTACATATCATGTTACACCTGCCTTCTTCATATCACCTTACAGCTCCTGTCTCCACATCATCTTACACCTTCCTTCTCCATAGCATCCTACCCCTACCTTTGACATATGATCCCACCTACTCCCTTCTCTATGTGATCTTACCCTCTCTCTTCCTCATATCACCTTACTCCCCTGTCCCTTCCGCATATCATCTTACCCATGTCATCATATCCCTATATTACCTTTCCTATGTCATCCTATTCAATCCCCTCCTTTACCCAGTTTATGTTATCCCTTCCCTTCATCCACTAAGTCATTTTATCCCCTTGCTCCCCTCTCTAGCTTCCCCTATCACATATCCTCTCATCCCTTCCCCTGTTTTACCCATGTCATCGTATCCCCTATTGTCGTTCCCTACATAATTTTATCCCTTTCCCTCTTTTTCCAGTGGCATTTTCTCTTCTCCATTCACAATGACATCTTACTTCCCTACACACCATGATCCCTCATGCTTGCCCTGCTGGTCTAGCATGAGGGTCACTGGATTGTGACAGTGATTGCAGTTTATTCCTTTCACCCCAAGGATGCCTTACATTTCACTGAGGCTTGTAAGCTATAGAACCATGTGCCCTTCCCACATGTTAGCAGAGTTCTGTCAGTGTATGTGAAATCCTGTTGTCTTTGAATACTGGAATAGTTATATCTTCTACAGATTCTGTCATAACTGTGTTATCAAATTAATGTGCAGCAAGCAGCATGGTGCTCTTTCAAATTAAAACATTGGGGTTGGCTATCACCTTTATACTGCAGATGAGGAGGAATAAAGATGGTCTGGGATGTCGGCAGCCACCATAGTCCAATGGTCCACTGTCCTGACTCATTTTACGCTGGCTCAGAAGTGGGGTAACTAAAGACCCTGGTCCACTGGCAAGATTTCATGTATCTATTTTAATACTGTGCTCTTGGGGAGTTATGTAGACTATGCATTTATTTATTTATCAATCTACACTTAAACTCCATACCTCAAGAGTGGTCAAACTAAAATTTCCCCCATGAAGCAAATTCGGATAAACACTGGTTATAATTCAGGTGCTGAAACATAATCAAATTGTATTATTTATCATTGAAATATGGCATATTTTTCAACATACACTGACTTGTCCTATACTGAATTTGAAATTTCAGAGAATAATCAACAGAGTTGTTTACTAACGTGAATATTCAAATGAAATTTTAAATTTAAGGCAAAACCTGCTGAAATGCAAACATTCTATAAGTAAGCTATGTTTAAAGTTCTATTACTTTGACTTAAAGTCTGAAATTCACTTTGAATTCTCTTAGAATTTTTAGTTTAAAGGAATAACCCTGCAAATTTAGATATTTCATTCAACATAGATGTGGTGCTTATCAAATGATCGCTTTAGTGTCAAATTATCCCTATAACATTTAACAAGTACTTTTTCCTGCCTCCATATCAAAATGTGTAATCACGCAGTGATCTGATTCCATCTCGTGACAATGTAAAATAATCTAACAAATTTGCAAGTTTGCCATTGTATGTAGCAATAACATACAAAGACCAGATCAAGTGATCGACATTTAACTAGCTAAATTAATCATAAAACTAAAAAGTTATCCATATTCCCTTCAAAGTTGTCCCCCAGAAACTGTAATGATTTAAATAGTTAATCAGTGCAATTTGCAGAATTTCTCTATACAAATACAAGGAATTGCGTAGATGCCTTGCTATGGTAACTTCCATTTAGATCAATATCATTTGGTTTATATTTTGTTCATATCTATAATAAACAAGTATGTGTGTTGAAATTCCTACAGAATCTAGAGAGTGTTTGCTTTAGCTACATACTGCTAATGAATGTAAAAGGTCACTCGTTATTTAATATTCTCTTGCAACTGAGAACAGTGGCGCTCCACGTACCCACCCAACGCTATTTCAATTACAAGTTGCACACTTTATTCGGTGTTAGCTGCTTCTCATAGCTCTCATATGTGGAATGGTGAGAAATGTTAATTGCAATCTTACATTTCCTTGTTGGCATGACGTGCAGAGCATAATAGGTGGACACCGCTTTCTACATAATTATACCAATTGTTTTGTTTTAAATAGTTCTAACCCCACCATCTAAGAGAAACTGCTATGTTTATGAATGGGTTAAGCCTTCCCCCTAATCCTCTAGTGGCTGTCTCATTGACAGCCACTAGAGGCGCTTGCGTGCTTCTCACTGTGATTTTCACGGTGAGAGCACGCAAGCGTCCATAGGAAAGCATTGTAAATGCTTTCCTATGCGACGGGCTGAATGCGCGCGCAGCTCTTGCCGCGCGTGCGCATTCAGCCCAGGAGGAGGAACGGAGGAGGAGAGAAGGAGGAGAGCTCCCCGCCCAGCGCTGGAAAAAGGTAAGCTCTTGCCGCGCGTGCGCATTCAGCCCAGGAGGAGGAGAAGAGGAGGATCGGAGGAGAAGAGCTCTCCGCCCATTTCTTTCAGGCATATTTAATACTATTCATCTCCAAAGACAGGAATGACAAATTCACTACTCTCTACCCAGAGACCCATCAATTTTTCATACTATGAGTGTAGGTTACACCCATGTATTCTTACTCCATTATCATATATATGCCTGCATTTCTCAATGCTATGACATCCTGTTGCATTTCGCACAGCCACGCAAAACCTAATATGCACAATATGGACAAAAGTATTCAGACACACCTCTTAATTATCAAACTCAGGTCTTTCAATCAAACCCATTGCCACATGTGTATAAAATCAAGCACCTAGCCTTGCAGTCTGCAGTTACACACATTTGTGAAAAAATGGATCATTCTGAAGAGTTCAGTGAATTCAAGAGTGGTACTGTTATAGGATGCCACATTTGCAATAATCAGTTTGTGAAATTTCATCCCTGCTAGATATTCCACTGTAAACTGTAAATGGGATTACTGGAAAATGGATTGTTTAGGAATAGCAGCAACTCAGCCAGCAGCTGTCATGACTCACCGGAAGAGGCAGGTGTACTGCACTTACTCACCGGACGCATACGTGGATCTCAGTGTCCTGCCCTTTCCCCAGCTGCTGGCAAGTTCCATGGTTTTTCCGCTGCACACCCACCTTGTCTGTCAAATTTCATTGAATGCCATATGGCCAGATGTGCTCTTGGGGAGTTATGTAGACTATGCATTTATTTATTTATTTATCAATCTACACTTAAACTCCATACCTCAAGAGGGGTCAAACTAAAATCTCCCCCATGAAGCAAATTCTGATAAACACTGGTTATAATTCAGGTGCTGAAACATAATCAAATTGTATTATTTACCATTGAAATATGGCAGATTTGTCAACATACACTGACTTGTCCTATACTGAATTTGAAATTTCAGAGAATTACCAACAGAGTTGTTTACTAAAGTGAGTATTCAAAGTGAGTATTCAAATTAAATTTCAAATTTAAGGCAAAACCTGCTGAAATTCAAAAAATCTCTAAGTCAGCTATGTTTAAAGTTCTGTTACTTTAACCCCTTAAGGACCCATGACATGTGTGACATGTCATGATTCCATTTTATTCCAGAAGTTTGGTCCTTAAGGGGTTAAAGTCTGAAATTCAGTTTGAATTCTCTTTGAATTTTTAGTTTAAGGAATAACCCTGCAAATTTAGATAGATGTGGTGCTTATCAAATGATCGCTTTAGTGTCAAATTATCCCTATAACATTTAACAAGTACTTTTTCCTGCCTCCATACCAAAATGTGTAATCACGCAGTGATCTGATTCTATCTCGTGACAATGTAAAATAATCTAACAAATTTGCAAGTTTTGCCATTGTATTTAGCAATAACATACAAAGACCAAATCAAGTGAGCTACATACATTTAACTAGCTAAATTTATCATAAAACTAAAAAGTTATCCATATTCCCTTTAACATTGTCATCCAGGAACTGTAATGGTTAAAATAGTTAATCAGTGCAATTTGCAGAATTTCTCTATACAAATACAAGGACTTGCATAGATGCCTTGCTATGGTAACTTCCATTTAGATCAATATCATTTGGTTTATATTTTCTATAATAAACAAGTATGTGTCCCTTTCCCCAGCTTCTGGCAAGTTTCATGGTTTTTCCGCGGCACACCCACCTTGTCTGTCCATCGACCCGCATCATATATATTATGTAGTACTTCTTGGTGTATCCTAACACTGCTCCAGGATCCCCTCAATGTGTTAGAACTCTGGGGGATTTATTACAATATACCTGGGTGCAGTGTGGGGGACATCTGGATGAATGGGCAAACTGGCATGTGACCACTCTAGCCAAGAGCACAAATATTCTGTATAATCACCTGTGGTGTATAAAGCTTAATTTACCCCTTTTAATCTGGCAGTGACCCTGTGAATTCTACTACCCAAACGGAAGAAATAATCAAAAGAAGTTATCAAAAATGTTCTTAAACCTTCCATTTACAGGTCTCACTGCTTTTTACTTTTACCATTTTAAGGGAGAGTAAGTACAACTAGATAGGACAGAAGACTGGTAAATCCATTCAATTTGAGGAATAGGTGGACTACCAAAGATAATATAGTTACATAGCTGAAAAGAGGCTTCCATCAAGTTCAGCCTTCCTCACATTTGTTTTTTGCTGTTGATCCAAAAGAAGGCAAAAAAAAAAAACAGTTTGAAGGACTTCCAATTTTACAACAAACTAGGAAAAAAATTCCTTCTTGACCCCAGAATGGCAGTCAGATTTATCCTTGGATCAAGCAGTTATTACCCTACATTGAAAGATTATATCCTTGAATATTCTGTTTTTGCAAGTATGCATCTAGTAGCTGTTTGAACATCTGTATGGACTCTGATAAAACCACTTCTTCAGGCAGAGAATTCCACATTCTGATTGTTCTCACAGCAAACAATATGATAACATATAAGTAGAGTTCTGTCTGCATTGTGATTTCTATTATTGTGGATTGTAAAAAAGACTAAACTAAAGGCTAAGCATCTCTTGTGAGCACCTGTTCTTTTTAATATTAGGAAGGGTGTAAGTTTGCAGTCAATATATGTTTTGTATTTATGCCTGTGTGATAGTTTATGGTATTCATTTGTAAATATTCTCAGGGTTCTTTACAACAATGAGAATCATTGCGAATTCAAAGTAAATTTTAAATTTTAGACTGAAATAAGTGGTGGAAGAATAGATGTTTTCGAGATTTTTTCAAATCAGCTATTTTTACCTTAAACTTAAAATTTGCTTTCTATTCACTATGAATTCCTGACAATTCTTAATTTAATACATAACCATGCATGTGCTCTGGTTTTGTTTCTTCTCAAAAACCCTATTACACATCTTCTGTGTGTATTCAGCAATTCGTACACATGCATGCTAAATCAAACATGAATTTGGCACCAGGGTCGGACTGGCCCACCGGGATATTTTAATCAGTGACAGGAGTGCCGCCGGCCGGGTGGCAGCCTCGCCAGTCCGCCGGCACTCCTGTTACTGTTGCTGAGGGCTGAAGGAGGAGGGAGGAGCATGTCTATCATACTCCCTTGCGGTTCCCACAATTCCCAGCACAGTATGCACAGTATGCTGTATCAGTATACTGTGATGGTAGACATGCTCCTCCCTCCTCCTTCAGTCCTCAGCATCAGTGACAGGAGTGCCGCCGGACCGGCGAGGCTGCCACCTGGCCGGCGGCTCCAGCCTGTAATGCGGCTGGCCCCCCTGACTTCTCTAGGTAAATGATGGGGGGGGGGAGAAAGGGAATATAGAGACACAAGGGGAGGGGGAGAAAATAAAACAGAGAGGGAATAGACACCGGGAAAAGAGGGAGAAAGAGACAGAGGGGTAAGAGTGAGACACAGGGGGAGAAAGAAGGGGAATAGAGAGATGGCAGAGGGAGGAGAAACAGACAGAGGGGAAGAGAGATGTGGAGGAGGGAGAGACACAGGGAAAGGGGGGAGAAAGAGACAGAGGGGAAGAGAGCGACAGGGAGAAAGGAGAGAGACACACAAGGGGAGGGGGAGAAAGAGGCAGAGGGGAGACATGGACACAGAGGAGCAGTGAGGGGGGAAAAAACATACAGAGGGACTGGGGGGGAGACAAAGAGGCACACATAGGGGCTGTAGATAAAAACAGACACACATAGGAGCTGTATATATCACTGGTGGAAGGGGGGGCAACGGGGCAAATCCCCCCCCATGAGGGTCTCCCCTGCCAGCCGATCTCCCTCCCCGTTCCACACACCGTGCAGGCAGCTGGAAGGGGAGGGAGGAAGAGAGGACCCGGGAGCTCCTCTGGTTACCACAGCAATGCTCCGGCTGTCATGAGGGTGAACTCTAGCCCTGGAGCTACGGGCTAGAGTTCACTCTCACCACTGCGACCACCAGGGATTCCTGGTGGTCGCAGTAGTGAGAGTGAACTCTAGCCCCAGACACACCTCTCCCACAAACACACACCATACACATTCACACACTGCCCCCATACACACATTGCCCCACACATGCTACACACTCACACACTACACCCCCCCCACACACACACTGAACCTTTCACACACACTGCACCCCTCACACATTGCACCACTGCTCCTATACCCTACTCCAGGCCCATATCCCAGCAGACCCCAGGTAAGTTGTCAAACTGTTCTTAAACGGTTCGACTACTTACTCTGAGAGAGGGTCCCGACACTCCTCGCACCATAACCACTACACAGAGGAGTAGTGGTTATTGTGCATGGAATATTTCTTTAAATAATCTACAAGTGCCCCTCCCGGGATCAGGCTCTGGATCCACCACTGGTATATGACATGTATATTAATGTGTGTATTAGTTTTATGTATATAATTATGCCTATTATATTTACACATATATTAATGTACATTTATATATGCATAATACACAGAGAAATGTCATTAATATGTACCATATGTAATGAGCAGATATTGGCCCAGTCTTGTTGCTAGGTGGATACTCCAGCGCAATAACATATATAAAGTGAAGAGCACACCCACAGGACTTCAAAATAAACAAGATAACGTCATTTTTTACAGTTGTGCCCTACATACATTCACCATTTCAGTCCCATTACCAAGCTTTCCTTCATATGTCAAGGTAGTTGGACTGAAATATTGATTACATGCAAAGGCACATCTGATTAAAATAAATCTGCACTTTTGTTTATTTTGAAGCTTATGAGTGCCCTTTTTACGTTGGAGTAATAAATTTTTAATTTTAAGTTATCTGTTCTAACTCTGTATCTGCACACTATGCTGGCGCAACGCATTATGGGGCTGGTAAATATTTTTTTTTCAGGGCTGCTTTTAATTCCCAGTCCGGCCCTGTTTGGCATCTGCACATGCTTGATGAAATGACATAATTTGTATGCACAAGGTAGATTGTTTGCACATGCATAGTGATATAATGTAAGTTACACGCTGAAGATTATTTTTCAATAGTCCAAAAAATAAATACAGGAGTCAGGGCTTGCAACTTGAGAAATTGGAGTTAAGCAAGATGCAGAAGTTGGAAGTGAAGGTAAGAGAAACAGGGTTATATTTGGAGAGAGAAGGTTTGGAGGTCTGCCATCCCAGACTGACTCCCTGGTGTCACATTCATTCTGAGGAACTGGATGAAAATGTCACCTCAGCTGTGAAATATATTGGCTTAATGAAACATAGATTTGTATGACAATATTGCAGAGTACTCATGCACAGAGCTGATGACAAGCTTCCCATCAAATATAAATAAATTCAACAAAGGCAGACATAAAAGTCACCATTTTATCAAATTTTTATAAAAAATTTCAAAGTACTTACTGCCTTCCTTTTTGTATTCCAACAGGTATCCATCTACAGCAAAGGTTCCTTCTTTTTCTGGAACCTTCCATTTTAGTGCTAGGGTGGTGTCGTTAACATCATCCACTATCAAATCTCTAGGAGCGCTTGGTGGTTCTAGAAAATTTTAAAAAGAAAAAATCTATGAAAAAGATTTAAAGTAGATCTGACAAACTGCATTTTCAATAACAAAGTTTAGTTTGTGACCTAGCTGTAAGCAAGCAATGTCGCACAATTTCTCAAGGGCTAATTCCATATTTTGGCACAGCAAGCATTGCCATCGGAATCAGACTTTCCTTCAATTTTCAAGGAAACCTCATATACCCTTTGAGGGTTATTTACTAAAGTGAGAATAGTCAGGAATTCCAAGTGTATTCAAAGTGAATTTCAAATTTAAAGGCCAAAGTAGCTGAACATGGAACTTTGCTGTCTTGGAGAATACCTGACAGCTATTTTGGCCATAGATTTAGAATTCACTTAGGATTTCCAACACTTCTCATGTTAGTGAATAACCCTGACTGTGATAAGGCAAATGAACCGACAAATTCCCTCCTATCTAAGTTGTCTTTCTGTGTCCTAACTTAATTTTATTCTTCAATTGTTTGGTGTGCATGGACACAAAACATATACAAATGATATAAATGGACTGTGCATTTTTAACCTCTATCTTCTATTAGCCTGTCTTCCCTTCAATCCTGAAATTGCCTAGGCTTATTTTAGTGTTAAGTTTTATATAAATACACCCAAAGTATTTTAAAATGTCTTTTAAAACCGGCACTGTCCTACTCCCATCCCTCCCCCACTGAAAGAAAAAATTATATTTTATACACTTTCCTACAAAGTCAAGAGAGCTACTGAGTACTATCAGGAATGTTCAGTGTCTCCATGCAGAGGGTGGAGACACTGAATGGCAGTGCTACACCTAGGAAGCACATCAAGTAACCATCTGAGGAGAGGCCAGTGGAGGTATGCCTAGGCTGTAAAGTAAACACTGCCTTTTTTCTGAAGGGAATGATTATACTCATCAGAACAAATACAATGTATTGTATTTTTATAGTGTCCCTTTAAAGAAAACCATGTTATGGCTGTCATGATTAATTCTGTAGTTTCCTCCACCCCATTACTAAGGGCAGAGGATGCTGCTGAGAGGCTGATCAAACTATCATTCTGAGATGGCGTTTTTGGCAAAATGCCTCGTTCTCGGCTTATAGACTTCCCCCCGACCATGCTTAGTCTTTTCTTTTCAAATAGTTTTTATTGAAAAAATTATTATTATTATTATTATTATTTTGTAAGATTACAACAAATTATAAAAACATTGTAATAAGGGTTGGGAAGGGGAGGGAAACTTGGAAGAGGGAAGGGGAGATCCATCTAATGTGATGATTAATATAGTAATATATAAGGCATACAATTTGAGTGATACATTGCAACAATAGGACAAATTGTTACAAATTACAGGCTTTTTTTAATTTTGTCTTCCCACATATCCCAATCATACTTCAATTGTGCAAAGAGGTACGAGTTACTTCTATGTGATAGTTTGTGCACTTTATTTTCTAGGAGTAGGTTCAGTACTTCTCTAAGTGATGGCATATCTTTAGATTTCCAGTACCTAGGCAAACAAGAGGTGGCCTGCTTAGTCTTTTCTAACAGGATGTATGCCACCACTCATAAGCTTTGCATTGGGCCATCAGATCCTGGATGCTCTAAATGACGAGCCTGCATATTACGGTTTTCTATAGATTAGAATATGCATTAGGATATGATTTGGGGCATCTATATTGGAAAATATGAGAAAAATAGGGGAGATTAAATTGAACTATATTCTGCATTCAATTGTAGGACAGAACATGTCAGTTAGAGAATACTAAGGACAAGGAATGTCAGTGGAAGTAGAGGAAGTGAAATATGATAGGCAAATTGCAAGAGAGATACTTTGTGTGGCTGTGGATTCAGGAGGTGGGGCATTAGTGGATATAGTGGGGGCAGTATAGTGTCCTTGAACTGTTGCTTCACCTTATCTTGGGCCAGCTGTGCCTTAAAAAACTTGAGCAATACACGCTATTACTCATTAAACATCCCATTATCCTTATCAGTTGGTTCTGGATAGGGCAAACAGGTTATCCTACGGCCATAATTAACTCTAGCAGAATTTTTTTCTTTTTATGTTTTTCGATAAAACAAATATTTTATAAACAATTTCTATGATCTGTCATTATCAGATCATTAAAGATTATACACTAATTACACATAATACGTCTTAGCCATGAGAAAAAAATAAATTGAAAAGGAACGTGAGAAAATGTGCGTTCGTATGGGGATTTGAAATCCTGACACCACCAGAGCAAGTTTAGGAACATGTTAAAAAAATAAATCACTGATCTTTATTACTGAATTGTCAGCTGTGCCTCTGTGGTGCAGGAAGTTATTGAACTGTTCAAATGCCTTCACTAAATCTAAGTATTAAGCAGCTGTAGCATGCTATTGACAATAGTATAAAATGTTGGCCAGTTAGCCAAATCATTTTAAATGTTTTAGAAATAATTTTCTACTGCAATTTTCACATAACCCCCCCTTTCAACGCTATAATATTCTTTACAATTAGCTACCACGTTCATATGTCACTCAATTTGTATAGGATTTTAATTGACTTAAAAGATTTAATTAACATTTGAATGACATGAAAGACTATTAAACATTTTTATAATACTGTGTGGCAAGAGGAAAAATGGTAAAGCACATATTTTTATAGTGTCACTTTCCTTGTAAATTAAAAGAATTAGCTAACATTACAACAGTTAAATAGTTTGAAGGTACGTGTTAACTTGAAAATCCCTCCTGTTGGTCGCCCTTGACAGGTTTCGCATTGCACACATATTTTTTCTTTCTAAAAATCCTACCACTATTTGTCACATTTGACACCTGCTGACTGCACACACTTCTAATGTTCTGGAAAACTGTCAAGACTCTCCTTGCTATATTTAAACTTGTACAAGCCATGCCCATATGCTATGGACAAAAGGGTTGGGTTTGCTAAGACATGACATTAGACTCATCTTCACATGCTAAAATAGATGAGTAGGGTTTTGTAATAGTAAGCAATTGACATTCCTCTGAGAGGCATGGAATGGGGAATAGACACAGCTCTAATCTAATGCCACAAGCAACAAGTTAAGAGATAGACTGACTAAATCCAAATAATGCCAGTAAAGGCCCTCGTGCATTTCAGTATATAATAAACTAAGAATGTTTTTTCAAATTATAAAACTTCCATTGTGTTTGCACGATTACAAAAATACAAGATGCACACAGTATATCACTGTGTTCCAAAAGTACTTATCAAACATGATATTAAAATGGAACTGAAACTTCTCTAGATTTTACACAGTTGAATAAAACACTGAAAATCGGCTGTGTAGACCTTTTTTATTGAGATGAGGGTGGATTTCTACATTTAGATACATTTTTTTGCACCTCACAAATAAACATCTGTTAAATATAGGGATAGGTAAACATAATATTAAAAATCCTGGGAAGTGACATTTCAACTTTAAGATTTTTTATTTTTTTTAAGTAGTACTATATTAACAAACATTATTATCAATTAAAATATTGTAAAAGTAATATTTATTCCACACATTAACAGCTATGGTACGTCATACATTCTACAACCAACTTCATTTGACACTTTATAAAAATGAAATAAAAAAACGTTGCAATCCTCGTTTGCTTCCAAGATTCTTAACATGACTACTCCCCTTGTATTTAGAAAAATAATGTATTTATGAGGGGTGAAAAGTAAACTGAAATGTAGAAATCAATGTCCCTTTATCCTAAAACTGGAACTGGACACCTCCATTTTGATGTCAATTACTGGTATTAGATCTGTCCATTGCTCCTGGCAGTCAGCATAGAGAGAGCACACAGAAAATATTAGAAATTAACCTTTTTTTTTTCTCCTCATTTGCAAAACATGCCTTGGCTGTGCCTTGGCTGAACTGGATAGGGAACGAGTTATTAGTGATTTTCAATGTTTTATCAAATGGAGTGCTTTCCAGACAAGTAAAAATTTCCCTTTTAAGCACCTGTACTTAGATGGTGATAAAATATCCCAATGATTGAAAGAAAACAAGCAAAAAATTATTACCACGGTTCTTTTTAGCCCTAATACTACACAGGGTTATTCACTAAAGTGAGAAATCATTTTGGATTTAAGGTCAAAATAGCCAAATTGGTTTTAAAAAAATGCTTTCAGTTCGGCTACTAAGGCCTTAAATTTGAAATTTACTTTAAAGTCACTGAAGTTTTATAATAGTAAACAACCCTGTAAGCATTTGCAATCACTTTCGGTAACACTAAGGGAATAACCCAATAAGATCATAATTACCTCTGGATTGCAACCCAAATCTGCACATTCTTAAGCAATTTGAAGATTTCAATTTACATGCTTTCAATGGAAAATAAAGAAGGAAAAGGTGTGAGCTAGGGTGAGAGGGTCTGTTCTTAGCACTCAGTTCATCACAAGGACCTGCAGGCTGGATTGACATAGGGGCTAATTGAGCTCATAACTATGGAAAAGAATAGGCCCATAATGTTTTTTTTTTTTATTAAAAAAAATATAATAATATATATAAATAGATATATATACACACACACACATATTATTATTGTAATATATATATTGATATTTGTAGACTGGGTTAGCCGTATTAGTCCAGTAGGCAAGATGACAAAATATCATTGCAGTATGTAATGATATCTTTTTTTATTGGATTAACACAATACAAGCTTTCTAGAGTTTCCTCTCTTCCTCAGGTCGAAGTATATATCAGGGCTCAACATTTCTACTTGCAACTAGCCATTGGTCTGGCTAATAGCAAAGGACTACACGTTTTCTTTGGGGGGGGGGGTTCATTCTATGCTTTCGTTCGATGATGTTGTGCAGATTAAACTGAATATGAGAATTTATAGAGTTGTGTATTCTGGCTAGCTACAAAATAATAAAGCACTGAGTGATTGGTTTTGCTGCTCCAAGCTCTATAACAGCTTAGCATCATCCTGTCATCATGTTGCAGTGTGGCATATCCCCTTCTCTGTCCCAGGCTGAATACCAGGGCAGGACACAAGTTGTGTATGCTCGTAAGAAGAGAGGAGAGGTATGGACAAGTGAGCCCTGAACAGAGAGAATGCAGATTGTGATTACTGAGAAGGGATGAGAGCTGTAGGTCCTGTACGATGGTCAGACAGACTGGGTTGATTGACCTGGGGGTATGTGTGGCATAAGTGGCAGCTCTGGGAGGAAGTGATATCATATTACTTCCTCCCAGCAATCTAAGGAAGCTATTTGGGAGGGAAGAGAAAGCACAACAATGCTTGCAGCAAACTTGTTACTGGACCCCAAGTAAAAACCACCATAAGCAGAGAGAATAGAGTGGCTAAAAATACATTTACTTAAATATTTCTGTGCATGTTTATCAGTATGTCTGCATATCTGTGTGAATGTGTTTTTGTATATGGCAGTGTACCTAAGAGTGTGTGTTTTTGTGAGTATCTGTTAAGTCTGTTATTAAGCATGTGCCTTGTAATGTGTAGTTGTGTGTGTCTCTGTGTCTAGTGAGTATTTGTGTGTGAGTATGTCTGGTAGTGTCTGTGGGTCTGGTAGCATGCATTTGTGTGTGTGTGTCAATGTGTATTTGTATGTTTTGCAGTGTGTTTGTGTGTGTGTGTTTCATCATGTTTTGTATATATACTTAATTTGCAATTTGGTTTTCAAATTATTACATTTCAATTTTTAGTCCGCTCATCAAGGGATGTTGCTGGAGGAGCCACAACCAGGGCCGGTGCAAGGATTTTTGCCGCCCTAGGCAAAAGTAAAGTTTGCCGCCCCCCCCATGTCACATCACAATGCTCCACCCATATTATCTGCCATGTTAACTAACGTCAGTGCTGCAGTGCCGCCGTGTTTACATTATAAGTCATGCAGGGACAGGCTATAGACACCAGCACAACTACATTAAGCTGCAGTGGTTCTGGGGACTATAGTGTTTCTTTAATGTGAGGTAAATTAGAGATTAGTGCCACGAATAATATACTAGATTGCCCACTTACAACGAGATGAAGATGATGATGGGCTCTAACTGCAGTCTGGCTCCACTGGTCTGGTGTAGAACAGGCCCTCTGGAGGCTGTTTGTAACTGTGGTCACAAAAATCAATGTTCTGGGTGAACAGGAAGCAGCTCCATTTTTGGGGGGCCCTTTACACAGCTCAAGGTCTGGGTCCCAGGGTCCACCTTCTTGTTCCACCAATGAGTTTGTTCACAGGGGGTGGAGTGTGTAGGGGATGTCCTGATATATGTGTAAGGAATGCATTGTGTGAATCTGTGTTTGTATGTGTAAGGGCTGCAAGGTGTGTTTCTGTGTATGTACAGGATGCAGTGTGTGCGTGTGTAAGGGGTGCATTGAGTGTGTGTAAGGGGTGCATTGAGTTTGTGTAAGGAATGCATTGTGTGTTTCTGTGTGTGTAAGGGAATCATTGTGTGTAAGGGTTGCATTGTTTGTGTGTGTGTGTGTGTGTGTGTGTGCCTGTGTCTGTGTGTGTAATGCATTGTGTGTTTTTCTGTGTGCAAGGGGTGCATTGCATGTGTGTGTGATGGATGTCAATCTCTCCCCCCTCCCTTGTCACTCTCTTCTTCCCCCTCTCCCTCCCTTGTCACTCCCTTCTCCCCCCTCTGCCTTGTCACTCTCTTCTCCCCTCCCCCTTCCCACTCTCATTGCCCCTCCCTCCCCTGTCACTCTCACCCCCGTCAATTTCTTCTCCCCCCCCCATTTCTTCTCCCCTACCAATTTCTTCTTCTCCCCCCCTCCTACCAATTCTCCCACCTCCCCAATTTCTCTCCCACCTCCCATTTCTTCTCCCCCTCCCCTACCTCTTTTTCTCCCACCCTCCCGTTTCTTCTTCTCCCTCCTCCCCTACCAATTTCTTCTTCTCCCCCTCCCCTACCAATTTCTTCTTCTCCACCCTCCCCATTTCTTCTCCCCCCTCCCCTACCAATTTCTTCTTCTCCCCCCTCCCCTACCAATTTCTTCTTCTCCCCCTCCCCATTTCTTCTTCCCCTCCCCTACCAATGTGTGCACTTCCTGTTAGTCCGGCCGGGTGGAGGAGACAGATGCTCCCTGTACCTGCGGACCATCATGATGCCCCGCTCGGCCACGCTACAGGGAGGGAGTGACAGGAGGGAGCGCTGAGCGCTTCCCTCCTGTCAGCCCCTCGCCTCAGGCTGCACCCGGGCGGTGCGGTCCGCCCTCATGGACGCACCGCCCGGGCAAAGCTGCAGCCACCTGAGGCTCTCTACAGAGCGCTCGGGCGGCTGCAGCATGAGGGGGGCCGGCGCTACTGGCGGCACCCCTTCCCAAGGGGCGCCCTAGGCGGCTGCCTAGTCCGCCTAACAGGTAGCACCGGCCCTGGCCACAACCCAGTGCCAAGGTACATTGATGCTGTGATCAGGTAAATAAAGAAAGGGTTTTGAACCCTTTATTCGCCATGGGGGGGATAGACGAGAGAGGGGATGGCAGAGGGAGCTATAGTGCCAGGAATACCGCTTTGTATTCCTGGCACTATAGTATACCTTTAAGTCTATGCAACATCTCTTCAACGATGGAGTAAAATGAGTCTATCAGGTTAGTGATGGGTGAAGTTGAGATATCCGGTATATCCAGTATATTGCCAGATTATTTTTGGCTCCTACTAATTTATTCATAATGAGTCTTTTCTCTACCCGATCAAGTGCATGTGGACCATCTGTGCACACATAGAATTCTCAATGAGCTGTATTACAGTTTATTGAGAGAAGTGTTTAAAGAGCAGCCACTACCAGGAAGAGTGCAGGGATATTTAAACATATTAAGAATACTGGGAAGCAACAGTTTCCCTTACTAAAAAAACAAAGGTTATTACACTTGTATATATGCTAAATGCACAGTCAGAATTCATATACAGGAATAAAATTAACAACATGGGCTTCACACTTGTCACATGGCATTCACTAAACTAAATTAGAGAAAATATTTCAAGTCAAACTAGCTAATTTACAGTGCAGGAAGACCGTGCTCTGATCGCCACAGCTCCCTTGCCACCCAGAGCACAAAGATTACAGCAGTCCATACTAGACCCCTTGGCGAGGATCCACACCTGCTCTCCCAAAGGTAGAAAAACTATGAATTAAATGAATGTGTGTGTAAGAGGTAATGTCAGGATCAGTGAGACTGTGTTCCTGTCAGTAAGTGTGTGTGTCTGTCAGTGAGTGTTTGTGACAGTTAGTGTGTGTCAGTGTGTCACTGAGTGTTTGTCAGTAAGTGTGTGTGTGTGCGTGTGTGTCTGTCAGTGAGTGTTTGTGTGTGTATCAATGAGTGTGTGTGATAGTGAGTGTATGTCAGTGTGTTTATCAGTGAGAATGTGTGTGTTTCTTATTGATAGTGTGTTGGTTAAATATTATGTGTGTGACAATGAGAGTGAAGTAAGTCTGTCAGTGAAAGTGTGTGTTGGTTAGACAGTGGGTGTGCCAATGAGTGTGTGAATGGCTCAGTGGGAGTGTGTGTTTAAAACAATTAAATGAAAAAAATAAGAGCATTCAATTCCACCTGTAATGGAAATTCTAGGAAATGTATAGATTTTAATTTAAAACGCTTTAAAAATATGGTCAAAATTCATATACATGAATAAAATTATCAACAATTGCTACACACTTGTCACAGGGTATTCACAAAATTTAATTAGGGCAAATGCAGATATGAATATTAAAGATCAAACAAGCTAATTTGCTGAAGCAGAACTACAGGAGTCACTGAGGACCAGGTCCTCTGTGTTCTGCCTGTCGGAGGGAGAGGGGGGTCCATGAGCTGGCCACAATGTACTAGCTGCAGTCACAATGTGTACATACAGTACTTTCCATTTTAAAAAAAACATGCTAAATTTGGCAGGTCTTATATTGAGATAGAGATGGGTTGTGGCAAGGCCACAGATGGGTGTGTTGTATTTAGCGTCACAGACAACCTGCCTGTAAAATTGCTGTGTCATCCCAGTGGGCATATGCTCCAGGGTGACATGTTGCTTCACAGAGCAGCCAACAAGGGCTGCACATACACACACAAAGACTTACATATACAAGCACACATGCCTAAAACCACACTAGCACACAGATGCACAATTGCAAACATAGAAAGATACAAATGCAGAGGAACACGTATGCAGAGACCAATCTAATACAATGACAAAAACTAGTATGCATGTATATCCACCAACATACAGACATACTAGAAAACATAGACAGGCACAGCAAACAGACACATTCTATAACACATACATAGATATACTATAGTAACAATATATATACACAAATGCATACATAAATATATACATAGACATACTACTACATATACTGAATAAAATTATAAACGCAACACTTTTGTTTTTGCCCCCATTTTTCATGAGCAAAAGGCCTATTTCTCTCAAATATTGTTCAGAAATCTGTCTAAATCTGTGTTAGTGAGCACTTCTCCTTTGCCGAGATAGCCCATCCACCTCACAGGTGTGGCATATGAAGATGCTGATTAGACAGCATGATTGTTCCACAGGTGGGCCTTAGGCTGGCCACAATAAAAGACCACTCTAAAATGTGCAGTTTAACTGTATTAGAGGGGTCCGGGGGGATCCGAAACGAGTCAGTATCTGGTGTGACTACCATTTGCCTCACGCAGTGCAACACATCTCATTCGCATAGAGTTGATCAGGTTGTTGATTGTGGCCTGTGGAATGTTGGTCCACTCCTCCTCAATGGCTGTGCGAAGTTGCTGGATATTGGCAGGATCTGGAACACGCTGTCGTTTACGCGGATCTAGAGCATCCCAAACATGCTCAATGGGTGACATGTCCGGTGAGTATGCTGGCCATGCAAGAAGTGGGATGTTTTCAGCTTCCAGGAATTGTGTACAGATCCTTACAACATGAGGCCGTGCATTATCATGAATGGCACAACAATGGGCCTCAGGATCTCGTTACAGTATCTCTGTGCATTCAAAATGCCATCAATAAAATGGACCTGCGTTCATTGTCCACAACATATGCCTGCCCATACCATAACCCCAACACCACCATGGGCCCCTCAATCCACAACTTTGACATCAGCAAACTGCTCACCCACACGACGCCATACACACTGTCTGGCATCTGCCCCGTACAGTGAAAACCGGGATTCATCCGTGAAGAGAACACCTCTCCAAAGTGCCAAATGACATTGAATGTGAGCATTTGCCCACTCAAGTCGGTTACGATGACAAACTGCAGTCAGGTCGCAATCCCGATGAGGACGATAAGCTTCCCTGAGACGGTTTCTGACAGTTTGTGCAGAAATTATTTGGATATGCAAACAGATTGTTGCAACAACTGTCTGGGTGGCTGTTCTCAGACGATCTTGGAGGTGAAGATGCTGGATGTGGAGGTCCAGTGCTGGTGTGGTTACATGTGGTCTGCGGTTGTGAGGCCGAATGGAAGTACTGCCAAATTCTCTGAAATGCCTTTGAAGATGGTAGAGAAATTAACATTCAATTCACAGGCAACAGCTCTGGTGGACATTCCTGCAGTCAGCATGCCAATTGCACACTCCCTCAAAACTTGTGACATCTGTGGCATTGTGCTGTGTAATAAAACTGCACATTTTAGAGTGGCCTTTTATTGTGGCCAGTCTAAGGCACACCTGTGCAATAATCATGCTGTCTTATCATCATCTTGATATGCCACACCTGTGAGATGGATGGATTATTGCGGCAAAGGAGAAGTGCTCACTAACACAGATTTAAACAGGTTTGTGAACAATATTTGAGAGAAATATGTCTTTTGTGCACATAGAAAAAGTCTTAGATCTTTGAGTTCAGCTAATTAAAAATGGGGGAAAAACAAAAAGTGCTGCGTTTTTAATTTTGTTCAGTGTATATATGAACACACCTAATCATGCATACATTGCACACATTGACGGACACTAGCATACAAACTGGTACATACTAGCAGACATCTATAGACACACACTAGCAAGCATACATGAATACATACTTGCACACAAACAAATGTTTGTGTACACATGTATATGCAAAGACACAAACAGAAACACACTAACATACATCAATTGGACCAGCTTGGGAAAGAACTGAACAAGGAGACAATATTTACAGGACACACATGTCTGAAGTAAAAAAAGTGTAATAATCATTGGCACGTGGTGGCAAAATACCATTCCCCTCAATACTCTGCCTTGTTCCAACAGACCCACCAGGAGCTCACATTGCCTGGATATATCTATTTTATTAGCCATAATGCCTCATCGCCTGTAAAGCTCTTATCATTAACTTTCATCCCACCATACAGAGTTTTCAGAGTTTGATTACTCCCTTTTTGCTTCATAACCTGATTCTTGGTTATTAGTGTTTTCCCCTTTTGTGTTCTTTTTTTTTTTTGCATTTTTTTTTTTATGTCTTTATTAATGTTGTTTTAAAAATGTCTCTATCAAAGGGCAGGTGATGAGGATAACATGGTCACTGGAATGTTAGAAAGGTTACAATATTTTGCAGTACACATGTTAAAACCGATGACACCACTCCATGTCCAAGTGTCCAAGTATCCAAGTATGTAATGCCATGGATAGAAATACATTTATTGGGGCTGGGCATTTATTCCAAGGAAGCATTATTTAGTTTCAGGGAGACAGGGCATGCTTTTTATTTTTACCATGTGGAGTGACAGGACCTTTAGTGCTGGGGAACAGGGAAGACAATGCTGAAAGTTTATGTATTTCATTTTACCCTACAGTTTATAGGTTAAAAGGATTGGAGGGGCCCATTTGTGCTTCCTGTTTAATGGCATGTCAAAGACCCCTATAAATTATACTTCCCAACATTCCACATTTCATGGAATGTAAGATGGAAAGATACACTCATATGGCCCCTCAAGGGTGTGGAACTGAAACCATGTACTGCCAAAATCACCCCTGGTTAGTAGGGGTCTTTTTTTTGGTCTAGCTTATATTTCCCCCTGCTTTTCCATTCAGTGGAGGTTACTGGAAATAAAGTCATGTGGCTGCCTGAATGTTTAATTTAAAAAGTAGCTCACTCATTTGTTTGTTTGTTTATTTTTACTTTTTGGAACTCTTTGCGTGCATGAAAAATTAATGCTGCCAGCATAATACCTATTTTATGGTTGTGGGGACATCAGAAGCACACGGCCTGACATGTCTTGATTGAACAGCTGATCCACCTCCCTTTAAGGAGTGAGCACTAGTGGGTTACTGCATTCAAATATCATGGGATCAGAGGCCATCATTAGGCTGGAGGTAGTAGCAAGCAACAGATATGTCACAGATGAGTTTTATTAAACACATTTCATGATCTAATCCCTGTTGACATGCAGGAATCCGTGTGTGTGAGGAGTTAGCAGATATATGAATACAAATAAAAATGGATCAAACCTCACACAGTGTTAGTTTTGTAGTACCTATAAACCGTTGACTGTTTAAGACTTTTCTAGCCAAATAAAAAGATTTTGTTATGGAATTCGCAGTTAGTCCTTATTATTGCAATTATTCAACCACCATTGAAAATCAGGTTTATTGTCCAGATTTACAGAGTTTCAGCTGTTTGCAGTGAACTAATCAAACAAAAGCAATTGAAATAGCTCAACACAATGAATGTTTCAAGTGGATTCTCCAAATTCAACTTATAATGACTTCTCCAGTCTCAAAAGTATTCAACCCCTTCATGGAAGCATCTTTAGTACTTAGTAGAGCATCCTTTTGCTGTTATGACCTGCTGCAAACAAGATGCATAGTCAGACACCCGCTTCTAGCAGCATTCCTTAGGAACCATAGCCCATTCCTCATGAGCAATGGCCTCCAGTTCAGTAAGGTTTGCATTCTGCAACTGCCTTCTTCAAATTCCACTATGGGGTTTAAGTCAGGTGACTGTGATGGCCACTGTAAAATTTTCCAGGACTTCTTCTGCAACCAAGCCTTAGTGGAATTTGAGGTATGCTTGGGATCATTGTCTTATTAGAAGATCCAATGACGCCCAAGCTTCAGCTTCCTCACAAATGGTACACTGTTTTCTCCTAGGATTTCTTGATACTTCAGGGAATCCATCTTGCCTTCCACACTCTGCAGATTTCCAGTTTTAGAGAATGCAAAACTACGTAATTACACAAAAGTTATTTTGATACTTAGAGTGTCCTTTTAAAACTACTACTTCTGTACACATTGGATTTGTATGGCAGTAATGCAGCGAAGGCAAGGAATTAGACATGCAGCTTATGACATTCTCATGCATTCAACTGCTGGTAAGACCCACGTCCTACACTTTCTTCCATAGTCTGGTGGTTGAGAACATGAGAAAACTGTGTGACATGTGGATCCTAAGTATACTGTATACACAAATGAAAGTAAATATAAAAGTGCCCCCTAAGTACTCAGTATCAAAACACATGCGCTTGATTCAGAGAACAGGAGAATTTGATTGACAGAACAGTATGTCTTCTTCATATGATGAAACAAATGCAAAGCGTGTCCCGGGTCCAGTAGTACCCAGTAGTAGTGTCCAGTAGTACCCAACACATATAGGTTGTCTTTAAGAATTGATACATATAGTCTAAAATACAAAAAATGACCCAAACCTTTTAACATTTTAACTTACAAAGAAAGACACCTAATTTTAGGGGTGTGAGTGTGGGTGTAGCCAGGGCTGCTCTGAGAATTTTTAGGTGACTTACTAAGAATAATTTATGCAACTAAAATTTAACTTAGAACAAGAACAATGTACAACAAACAAGAACAATATATTTACACAGATTTCATACATTTATAGATTTCAGAAATAAATAGAAACATAAATTCTAAACACATTTATTTTATTTAAGTATTATTGCTGTGAAGTTTTGCTAAAAATTCTGACACACCAACAATACGGAGCTCCTGGGTACATTCGTATATAAAAGAGGAACAGAGGGAACTGGGCCCAAAATAGTAACTCTGCTTCCTTAAGAGGGGCAGCTGGTAGGTGTGTTAACCAGCCACACCAATTGCCAGCCACCCTTTTCAAAATAAAAATAAATAAAAAATATTTCCCTATCTACTCCTGCTTGTGCTCTATTAAATTGAGAGGGGCTTTTTCAACATTCCCTAATAATTTAATAAATTAAATTTTTGTCTGAAACTGACAATCCTAAGAAAAACTTTTAAGACCAGTTTCAAAAATGCAGTCATATACCAAACATTGGCATTTTGTTTATATTAACACAGGAAAACGTCGCAATCTCTTGATGGATAGCCTTTTTTTGATAATTTGAAAATTTAAATTTTAAAAATAAATAATCTAAGCTTTACTTTTATATTTGTTTTATTATTGTGTACCCTGTTGCAGGTTGTACCTGTAGCTAGGACATGGACAAATTTGGACTGAATCAAATAAGATTCCATTATTTAGCATTTTTTACTGCTTTGTAATAATTCTGTTCCTGATATACTGCCCTGTTCCTTACCCACTGACATAAATTCTCCCATGCTGCATTTATGTTAATCCCATTATCTACTTTGTTGCCACACTAGAGAGTACACACTGTTCCTATGGTGCTTAATATTGATTTGTGTTCCTTGGCAACAGCAGCAATCTTTAGCCTTACTTCTAGACCACATAAATTATCAATCAGGATGGTCTCCAAAACTCACTCAAGTGACCAGTGATTGCCAAGTCTTTGTCAAATAGTCCAGGGATAAATTGTACGCCCATTCCTCCCCATATTTTTTCGCTATTCAAAACTCTGTTTCTTGTATGTTAAATTATCGAGTAAGTGAAATAATTTGAAATCCCATAACTAGAGGAAGAATGGACTGTTGGAAGATCTGCAATTGGTGTTATTTCTCAGGAGTTTTGAGGTTAACAAAGAAAAAGTGCTAAAATCTGAACCAGGACTTTTGAGGACTCCACTTGGGGTTTCAGCCCAGGTTAGTTAGCCCCGTCCGTAGCAACGCCCTCTGGTGGTTGTGCAAGAGTTTGCAAGACTTTCCTGATTGTATGATGCTCAAAATATTTTATGGTGGGCCTAATTGCAGTGCGGGTAAAGCAATATTCAATGAAGTCAGCAGAGGAGAGTAGCAGTTATATTTATTTAAACGCATACGTGTTTGACTATTTTAATATACAATTTTGAATTTACAAAGAAAACTTTAAATTGAATTCAAATGTTAAATATATGTGTCTGAAGTAGATAAACTTTATCTGGATCGTGTTTCTACATAGTACTTTGTAGTATTTTTGTCTCACATATAAGCATGGGTGTGATTAAGAAGGACACTTGGCTGCTAGATGTTTTAAATTCCCAAGGCCTCCTGCAAAAATGAAACATGACATTTATTGCTCCTATGAACAAGTGCAAAATATGCATTGCCAGCAACAGTAGCATTGCAGGCAATTCAAAGTGAACTTCAAATCTGAGGCCAAAGGAGCTGATAGAAAAATGTAACTGACTGGGAGAAGCTTTCAAAAGTCTATTATGGCCTAATTAATATATATATAGCAAATATTTATTGCGTAAAGTTAAAAAAAACAACTTCCACTTGTCATAAAGAAGACATTTAAGTATGAAGTATAAACTTTAAAATGTAGTGTAGCGCTTCAATAAAAAAAATCTGTAAAAAATACAATTATGAACACAAAATGTTCACCTTGTGTATATATATATATATATATATATATATATATATATATATATATATGTGTATATATATATATATATAGAAAACCCCTGCACTCCAACTTTAACAAAACAAAAGATACCTGGTGCTCTGGTGGCTGAACCATAAGAGAAGGAAAAAAACGGCACTCAAGGATTTCCATATATTTGAATCTTCATTTATTGCGAAGAATAAATCGACGTTTCAGCTCCTCTAGGGAGCTTTCATCAGGACACTGTATATATACAGTGCAAGAGATAAACAATACAGTTCACAACATGGCGAACCTTAAACAAACAAAAAAAGTTGTTTGCATATAAGAGCAAGTTTCAATATCAATGTCACCTATAAAGTGCCAATGCAAAAAAATATAAATAAAAACAAACAATACAGTGTAAATAAGGTGCAGAACATGGCAAACTTTACACAAAAAGTTGTTTACAAATAAGTGCACATCATAGTAAACTTTACACAACAAGTTGTTTGCATATAAGAGCCAGTTTCAGTATCAATGTCACCTATAAAGTGCCAATGCAAAAATGTGCATTAAATAGTGCTATGTTTTATAATACTATAAATGCAGAACTTTACAGATAAAGTTGTTTACATATTAGTGCCAATTTCAGTTTTAATGTCACCTATAAAGTGCCAGTTGGAAAAATATACATAGAATAGTGCTATGTTATATAGTACTTAAAGTTAAAAATATACATAAAATTGTGCTATGTTCTTATATAATACAGTAAAATATGCATAAAATAGTGCTATGTTGTTATATAACACTTAAAGTTAAAAATATACATAACATTGTGCTATGTTATATAATACTATAAATATTATAGCCCTATTTTATGTATATTTTTTGCATTGGCACTTTATAGGTGACATTGATATTGATATTGGCACCTACATGCAAACAACATTTTTGTGTGTAAAGTTTGCATTTAGTATTATATATATAGTATTATAAAACATAGCACTATTTTATGCACATTTTGCACATACTGAAATTGGCTCTTATATGCAAACAACTTTTTGTGTAAAGTTTACTATGATGTCCAAAAAAAAAAAACCATATCCAAATTACGGAAATGAGCTAACAGAGTCTAAAGGGATATAGGTGAATAAGCCTTCGATAAAAAGTCCATAAAAGGCAGTCGTCTATAGGGGAAAATGTTAATTCATAAACAACCCAACCCAATCATATTTATTCTTGATGCCTTCTATTCAAGTTGGAAATGAGGTTCCCAAATATCAGAGACGACAAAGTTAGTCATCACTGCGCTAGATGAGTTAGTACTGTCAAATTTAATAGATTTTTACAGATTTTACAGAAACCTTCTCTAAATGTCTTTTTTATGTAAAATGTAGATGAAGCATCTTTCAATTACCAAAGCATATTACTGGCAGTAGTTATGCCTATTGACAGCCAAGACCTACAGTCAATAGGCAGCATAAAGCGATAAGCTCACAACAGGAAAAGCATGTTCCTGGCCGTCATATTGGGCTACCACTGCCAATAACATGCAATAAAGGTAGGAAATGTTAGAAGCTGCAATAAACCTTATTTTGGTGGTCTCCTGTGAGATCTAGTTTACTGTTTTTTTTAAATTTACTTAAAGAACACTTGAAGCACCATAACCACTACAGCCTGCTAGACATGCCCTAACATTATCCAGGGTAAGACATCAAACCATTCTGAGAATAGTTTGACCACTCACCTGGGGCCTGCCTGCCTGCTGCGCCACCTCCTCCTCTTCTGATGGAAGCTCCTTAGCTCCCGTGAGCTAAACCTTGCACTTCAGTCCACCTCGTTGGCTGAGAGCATCAGCTGAGTGATCTCAATCAATGATCTGTGTTCTGCATAGACAGGCTAAGTTGATGTAGTGGTTATGGTGCTTGGAGTGTTCCTTTAATACTTCTTATATAGCATTCTTAATCAAAGGGCTTTACAAAATGTATCCGTTAATCATAAGCAGTTACATTCTGTTTTATTTACTGTGATTATAGTGTTTTTTCCTTATTTTGTAATGTTTTGTCTCATTTTACATAACTCCTAATAAATACGTTTTTTTATTCAGCACTTTTTGTGCACTTTATTCTCGCTTAGATACATATTATACTTCTTGTTTTCTATTGAAAGTCATATATTGTGACAGAGTATTTCAAAACACTGTTAAATATATTTTGATTCTCTTGTACATGCTCTCATCGAGAATACTTTACTTTGACTTTATTTCCATTATGGGTTTCTTTTTCATTCATTGCTAATGTAAGTGGAATAAACTGTCCATCAACTTTAGAGGCTCACTTAAAGTGTCTGTCATTAATGCCTAAGAATTATAAATAGTCTATAACAATTACATAAATAGCATTGCAAGAGGCATTGCCACATATGGCAAGCCACTTGAGTACAAACTTTAGAGGGAGTGTATTTGACAAGTGGACGATGAGACAGATATCCCCTCTGTGATGCTATTGTATATTTCTGCAAAAAAAATTTAATTTGGATTTAAAATATTATGAAATAAAATATATGTTGAACGTGAATAGTAACATGTGATCTATCTATCTATCTTTCTATCTATCATTGATTTTCCAGTGTTAGAACTTTGCTCCTCTATTTTCAATATGCTTTTATAGAAATAACCGTCACAATATCACAATATCTACATACTCATGTTTACTACCATCTGTAGAAATATTTGGATGGCATGAGCAGGCATTATTTCAATCATGGGATCATAGGTTGAGAGTGCTTGCATATAGTGGGGAGTGAAAAATCAATGTAGTCCTTTGGGTGCGCCCAATCACTGTTTTGTAAAAATAATAAATGCAATTAAGTGGTGCCCAATCCTTATATTTTTCAGCACTCACAGTCTTAGCATTCAAAGAGTAATTCCTCAATTGATTGGACACACAAACACAGTCCCCTTTATAGGAGCACAACACATAACACATTACACATTTAAATATATGTAGACCACTATGAACAATTTAGTTCTTTAACCAGTGACACATACAAGAATATTGCCATTCAATGAAATGTTCCTATGTACTTTGATGTCTGAGGAGCACAGCATTGATCCGATGTGAGCTTTCTTCAATGCTGGATTACAAGGGAAACCTGTCAAGCCAGCGTGGCTGTCATGTCAAACATTGCATGGTCAGGGCTCCCTTATAACCAGGGTGAACAGATCCACCATGGTTGCCCTGCAGTATGTATAATAATATTCTGTAGGAGTCTTCATTGCCTAATTGCTTAATCCTATATTCCACCTTCTGAATTCTACATATTACAGGGTTACCCTTTTCATGTGCTGCCCATCAATATGTATATATGATATGTGTGCCAGAAAACATGCTGGATCTGGTCACCATGCTTATACCACAATCAAAAATGGCCACAAAAAAAAGCAAGGTTTGATTAAAAAATATTTCAGGGTTTCCATAAGAAGCAATATATGTCATTTTAATAAAGCAAGTGCTCAGAAGAAAATCTATATTACAACTGTCTGGCTTCATATATATTTATAGCAAGCTTTACATCCTTGCTGATATTCTAATAAAATCTCTGAATTGTAATATAAGAAGCAGGACCAGGTGCTGCCTCCTAACACATGCACTGTGGTATCCCGTTTTGTACCCTTTAAAACTGCAATCAGCCTTTTATCTATACCACTTCCATTTTATAGTCGCAAAATAAAATCATACTTCAAAATTCAAATTTAGAAATAAAAAGGAATTATGCTATTTGTAAGAACAGTCCAATTATTATCTGTTGTAATTCAATCCTAAATAAGTAAATCAAACATTATTTTACTAGCGTTTTATAGTTTGGCAAAGTTTGCCAATGTTTCACTCTTTATAAGTGTTAGTGGTGTTTATCTACTAAACAGTGAATTGCAGTGAACAGAAAACAGTAAGATTTAGTTTCAATTAGCCATGCTATGACTATAGCTGGGTTGCAAATTATTCCAAATCAGTTGTTTGAGCCTAGATTTTGCTATTTATATTTCATTGTACTAAAATTCACTGTTTAGTAAATAAACCGACTGTGTTAATCACTAAAGTGTCAACTAAATTCAAAGTGAATTTTCCACATCTTAGGCCAAAATAGTTCAATTGGAAAAATTCTCCAAGCCAGCTATGTTTTTTTATAGATGATTTTAGCCTAAAATATATCTACTTTAAATGTTTCAATGTGCAATTTTCACCAATCTCCAACCATTGTTCTTCATTGGACTTTAGTCAAACATTTAATAACAATATACTGTATATTAATACAAGATTGGATATTTCAGAAAAGTCTGTTTATAAAAAAAAAAAAATTATTATGAGATCCAAACCTTTGGCTCAAGAGAAATGAATTTACTCATGTAAAAAGATGTGTTTAAAAGATTTTTTAAACACAACTTATGTCCTATCGCTTCTTCCTTCTAATAATGAGGAATTGTAACGTAAATTTTGGCATACAAAATTAAGTCCCGCATTCAAACTCCCACTGCTCCTTGGCAGCAGCAATGACTATAAAACACCTGCAGGCGAGCTTACACTTTAATGGCCATTTGAGTGATACCAACAAAAACTAAATAAGCAAAGGGATTTGCGATAGTGCGTAAGTAACTTTTTTCTATGTTTTTATTGATTAGATTTTAGACCAAACAGCAAAAATATTCCATTGATGTCTACGGTGACTGTTCCAGATTTGCCATTTCACTTGAACTTTCATTAAATAATTATGACCTATGCTTCTCCATATTGTAGAAATAAAAAAAATAAAGAAAATAAATACCTTCTTTTGGGGCTTCTGGTTCAGGAGGTGCAACGGGTGCTGCTTCCACAGGCTTCTCTACTTCTGCCACTGGGGCAGGAGTTTCTGCAGCTGGGGCCGGGGTCTCAGGGGCTGGGGCAGGGACCTCAGCAGCAGGGACTTCTGGGGCCTCTGGGGCAGGAGCTGGGGCTTCTGGGGCAGGCGCTGGGGCTTCTTGGACAGGTTCGGGTACCACTGGTGCCGGTTCTGGCTTGCTAGGTTCAGGCTTGGCTGCAGCAACCTTTGCTGGGGACTTTTTAATGGGAGCTTTGGCTGGCATGTTTGACAGTCTGCTCTTGACAACTGCTGCTGTGAGTTTCTTCTGTCTCTGATTTATATAGCTGCTTGCCAGGTACTATACTACACCATCTGTTTTTTTTCTTTCTTTCTTTTTTTTTTTTTTTTTTTTTTTTTTTTTTTTCAAACTTGCTTCTGTTTATTTAAAGCATCACTGCACTCAGCTTCTTCGAACAGAAATAACTCTGCCCTAAACACCACAAAGTTTTGTAGTCATTTATCATTTTTAAGTTGATAAAATAACTACTATGTTTATTTTTATATCAAAAATGTAAATTTGACATTGGCTGATTTAAAAATAAATTGATATTTAATATTGAAACATTAAAAATCACGTTATAATGCTTAGTTAATTTTCTGTTGTGATATTTATGTTTTTTATCACTTGGCAATGTGGTGTAACTGATGTTTTTAAGAAATTAGCAAGCAGATTTTTGTTTCAGATAGTTGCAATATAAACTCTCAGACCTCTACACAAACCTCTCCTCTGTCAACATCATTGCATTAACTTCATGGGACACTCCATACCTTTTAAGCACTTTAGTTTGCTGAAAAGCTTTATGTGTGAAGAGTATGTCTTCATTATTTCATTTTGCAAAAAATTGCAGATTTCAATAGAATTTTTTTATTTTTCTTTAGAAATTAACCTGGTTGCACCCCATTGGCTTTCAAGCAAGCAACAGGTCCTGTTACTTCCTGGTTTGGTTAGCTCAGTGGAGCTAAACTCAAGAGGTGCCAATAGCTCAGAGTACCTGCCTTGCAAACACTGTTTATTGAGCTGCTTTGGGAAGTCTGTGATTGGACAGTCACAGAAGAAAGTCTGGGCGAGGTTAGAAGGTGATGGCTGGCAAAAGCAGAACTGCAACTTTTGCAAGCTGTTTTTAGATATACCTCAATGAAAAAAAGCATTATTGAAAGCATGCAAGTATTCATTTGAGGTATATCGACAAAATAGCGATTTTGATTTATTTTGTATTTAGGCAGTACAGTGTCCCTTTAAAGGGACATTATAGTCATCAAAACAACTTTAGCATAATGAAACAGTTTTTGTGTATAGATCATACCTCTGAAGTTTCACTGCTCAAGTCACCGCCAATTGGGAGTTAAATCACTTTTGTTTCTGTTTATGCAGCTCTAGCCACACCTCCCCTGGCTGTGACTGACAAAATGGTTTCATGTTTAATCAGATATAACTTTCTTTAAAAGTTTTTATCTCCTGATCTGTAAAATTAACTTTAATTACCTACAGGAGGCTCCTGCAGGGTCTAACAAGCTATTAACAGAGCAAGAGATAAGAAATTCTAACTTAAACACAATTTAAGTTGTAAAACAACAAAGTTTTAACAACGTTAGATGTCTCTTTATAGGAAGTGTTTAGGAAGGCTGTGTAAGTCACATGCAGGGAGGTCTGACTAGGCCTGTATAAACAAAGCGATTTAACTCCTCAATGGAAGATAATTAAGCAGTGAGACTGCAAGGGCATGATCTATACACCAAAACTGCTTCATTAAACTAAAGTTGTTTTGGTCACGATAGTGTCCCTTTAATGTTTGCTTTTCATTGCAAAAGTTTCATATATGAAATTTGCCCAAAACAATAACTTCCCTTCCCTTTTGCTCAGCCATTGGCATTTACTATAAATAAAAAAAAAAGCTATCTATTCTAAGACTCAATACTTTTCCTCTACATCTCTGCAGAGGAACTGTATATGCAGCCCTTTCCTTTACCCTAATAGTGCAACATTTTAGATTAAAGGTCATGACAGTAAAACAGAGCCAGGTGATGCTCAGTCTCTTGACCATAGAATCTCACTTAGAAGGCATTACCTCCCTAAGGGGTTAACCCCTTAAAATCTATACATTTGGGGAGGCGGGGATTATCGGTAGCAAGAAATTATTTTATATTTACCTATCAAAATGTTTATTGAAAAGTTTATTTCTTCAATGGTCTTTCTATGACCTTGGCCAAACAATTGTAGATTATGCTAGCGCAGTGTACCTTTAATCTTAATTTTATTAAGGACAGGAGGCGAGTATTTTGCATAATCTTTCTTTACTAAAACTCCAGAAGCAAAGGTTTAACAATAAACTTTAGTGAAAAAAACATTGTCATAGGGCAGTGATGGCGAACCTTTTTGAGCCCGAGTGCCCAAACCGCAATACATGCCAACGTTTTTTCTCCTTAAAGTGCCAACACGGCAATTAAACCCAAATACTGAGGTTTAAGTTTAGATAAAAACAACTCGTACTGTTGTCCGAACTAATAACTTTTGTTTTAAAAGAACACAGAGTTCAATGATACAAATTTTAAATAATGATATAAATAGATAAAATTGAGCTTATATTTATTAGTATCTCCAACAAATGCAATACATACACAGACAGACTGCTGAATACATACACACAGTCTGCTGAATACACACACACAAGACTGCTGAATACAGAGACTGATGAATACACATACAGACAGACTGCTGAGTACACACACACACACAGACTGCTGAGTACACACACACAGACTGCTGAGTACACACACAGACTGCTGAGTACACACACACAGACTGCTGAGTACACACACACACAGACTGCTGAGTACACACACACACAGACTGCTGAGTACACACACACACACAGACTGCTGAGTACACGCAAACACAGACAGCTGAATACACGCAAACACAGACAGCTGAATACACGCAAACACAGACAGCTGAATACACGCAAACACAGACAGACTGCTGAATACACGCACACAGACTGCTGAATACACACATACTGCATTGAGGTGGGGGGTGCGTGTGTGTGTGAGTGTTGTATGTGAGGGGTGCTGTGTGTGTGTGTGTGTGGGGTGCTGTGTGTGTGTGCTATATGTGTAAGGGTGCTGCGGAGGGGTAGGGGTACTGTGTGTGAGGGGTAGGGGTACTGTGTGAGGGGAGTAGGGGTACTGCTGGGAGGGTTGGGGTACTGTGTGTGGGGGTAGGGGTACTGCTGGGAGGGGGTACTGCTGGGAGGGTTGGGGTACTGTGTGTGGGGGGTAGGGGTACTGGGTACTGTGTGTGGGGGTAGGGGTACTGCTGGAGGGTTGGGGTACTGGGTGTGTGTGGGGTAGGAGTACCGCGCAGTGGGGGGGGGTAGGAGTACCGCGTGTGGGGGTAGGGGTACTGCTGGGGGGTTAGGGGTACTGCTGGGGGGTAGGGGTACTGCTAAATAGGGGTACTCATGCATGGGGGGTTAGGGGGTACTGCATATTAAATAGGGGTACTGTTGGGGGGTAGGGGTTACTGCTGGGGGTAGGGGTACTGTGTATGGGGGGGGTAGGGGTTACTGCTGGGGGTAGGGTACTGTGTATGGGGGGTAGGGGTTACTGCTGGGAGTGGAGGGGTTACTGCTGGGGGGTAGGGGTTACTGCTGGGCAGGGTAGGGGTGCTGGGGGTAGGGGGTTACTGGGGGAGGGTGGGGTTACTTCTGGGCAGGGTAGGGGTTACTGCTGGGGGTAGGGGTTACTGCTGGGGGGTAGGGGTTACTACTGGGCAGGGTAGGGGTTACTGCTGGGCGGGGTAGGGGTGGGTACTGCTTGGGGGTTACTGCTGGGCAGGGTAGGGGTTACTGCTTGGGCAGGGTAGGGGTTACTGCTGGGCAGGGTAGGGGTTACTGCTTGGGGGGGTAGGGGTTACTGCTGGGGAGGGTAGGGGTTACTGCTGGGGGAGTAGGGGTTCTGCTGGGGGGGTAGGGGTACTTCTGGGGGGGTAAGGGTGCTGTGTCAGTATACCCCCCCCCCTCCTTCTTACCTTTAATGAGGGGGGAGGGGGGGGACACAGCCATCCCTGGTGGTCCGGTGGTGGTAAGCACTGCAGGGGGAGGGCTCCAGGAAGCAGCTCCCCTGTCCTCTCGCGCAATGCTGTGTGGAGCGTTGCCATGGTAACGCGCGGCAACGCTCCACACAGCATCGCGCGGGAGGACAGGGGAGCTGCATCACAGAGCCCTCCCCCTGCCTCCCGACCCGGAAGCAGAGTAGGCGCCTGCCGTTTCGGGCAGACAGGCGCCTACTCTGCATTGATGGCGAACCTGTGGCCGCGTGCCCACAGAAAGGGCCCGGCGTGCCACCTGTGGCACGCGTGCCATAGGTTCGCCATCACTGTCATAGGGTATAAAAGGCCCTTCCTCTTGCATCATTTCCTCTTTCTTTGGTGAGAGATATTTCATAAACATATCCTGCTATTACAATAAATAATGATAACGACGAAGAATCAGACTGTAAATGATCCGAATCCCGACTGGAAGATTGTCATATAGTGTGAAGACGATCCCATGTATTAATCCATGAAGAAGAATCAAACTTAAAAGAAACAAAAGACGTGAAAGGGATTTGGAAATTAACTGTCCTGATTATTATTATTATTAGCATAATCAATATTACTGTTTATAAAATGACAGTTTATTCCGTAGTACTTTACGTAAAAGGAATTTATCAGATGAGATGAGAATTTTTTAACCGAAATAGGTAGCTATGATAGAGACATTAATATTGTCAAATTGTATGCATTAGGCAATCATAACAGATAGCAGTCGTAATTACAAGATGTGATATGAAATAAACCACGTAATAAAGAGATAACCACACCCCCTGAATTCAAATCTTTTATTGAAGTACAACCTAAGGAATGATAAATAGGGAAGGAAAAAGCAGGGTGGGAAAATACTCACCTCCTGTCCTTAATAAAATTAAGATTATAGGTACACAGCGCTAGCATAATCTCCAATTTTATAACAGGACAGGAGGCTTCGTATTTTGCATTTTAACGCTATGAAACACAGGATGTGTGAAGAGTCCGAGGAAGTAGAACACCCTGAAAGTCTCTTCTCGTGACCTGGCCAATGAACATCGGCGAAGGAAGATGCGTCGTAGATGTCTGAGATGCATCCATGACCCGAATGACCGATAACCTATCGATCTCCGCAACCATATGAGCAATGGTCAACGTGCCCACCCGGTAAGGTGGTGGCCATAACTGGTGTGAAAGATATAGTATACAAAGGGAGAGAGAGAGGCTGTCTCGATTGTGAGAT